TCTGCAAAAGCATTGTACCGATTTTCATTAAATATCATTTTGAAAAGGAGTCACAGACTTTGTATCAACAAAAAATGCATCCAAACCCTCCTACCTTCATATAATGATACTGTCTATCATTTCGATATTTAACCATAAAGAACGTAATTTATTTAAAACCAGCAATTAAACCCATCGTACAAAAATCTGTAATGTTCTCTATAAAGTATTTAATTTCAACTTCTCTTTAAATTTTTTATACTTAAAACGACATTAACTAGAGTAACTGAAGTACAATAGAAATCCGATGGTGCAACTTTTTTTTGGGCATTTTATAATGTCAGATTGCCAAATATACCGGATTATAGGATTAAAATTGTATTATGTCATGTAGGGTTCATCACTCTTTTTCTACTAAAATGAACGTTCAGGAACTGTGTAGCGACTTATCGCTGAGTTCAAACTGAGTTCAAGCAACTAAAACATAGACTCGAGAAGGGTTAAAATAATCTTTATTTCCCTCAACTAAGAATAACAATTAACCCCTTTCTCGGGCTTACAACAAAGCTTCCACTTGGGCTTTAACTCAGAATAAGAAATAAGAACTGAACTCAACTCAGAATAAGAAATAAGAAATAAGAACTGAATACGAACTAAGGCGACGTAGACGAAATTAAACACAAGTATCTATCGTAGTTGGCCCTTAATTCAAACTAGCCGGCGAATATCAAAAGGCACGTAATAGTACGGTCGAAGGTAACAGCTTATACAGACAGACAGCTTATACCTAACAGAGATTTAGCCCGAACGCAAATACGTGCTTCTCAAGATTTCTAGTCCTCTCTCACGAAGTAAGTTGACCCTTCCTTAAATGCTTCTTCTAACTCATTTGCATTCAATGCGATTAAAAAACTCATTCTAGTGGGGACCTGCAAGTAGAAACAAGAACTGATAGGAATATCCCAAATTAAAATAACTGTTATAAAATTAAAATATACCTTACAGCCATAAAACGATTTTTTGAGTTAGAACGTGTTGAGAAATAAAACAAAAACATTGCATATAATTATTTTGAAAATATATTTAATGAAAGGATTTATTAGTAAATAATTTTTTTAATAGTTTAATTATATTTAATCAATTTTATCTTCGAAATTATCATTATTGCTAATACATGAAATCTCAAGTAAAGGTGAAATGAACATCTCCCTCACAGGTTTCGTTCCTATTTTTTTAATAATCATTCCATGAATATAAATATTAAATATTTCTATAATAGTATATTTGTATATTTATTTATTTCGCGAAGTTTAGAAAGGTATTTAACGGTTCATTACCTTCACGCCAAATGAACTTAATTGAATTTTTTCCTGGTCGTTCCACATTTCTTTTGCTGCCTATGAATTCAAAACACTTTAAATTAAAATTTCATTATCAAATTCACATCCGCAGGGACTCTCAAGCACAGGATGCTTGCGGGCACCCGCCAATGTGAACTGCTCTTCTAGACATTTAGTGTGCTAGAGCTATACTAATTTTGTTTGTGGCGCTTTGTAATGGTATCACGCACATTTGTTCCTATTCTTGTCGTCCAACTCTTCCACAACTGACTATTGCTTTCAATATATTCAGCAATTTTATTTTATGAAAGTGTGATTAATGGTAATTTCGAAGGAAGACTTTCAACTGTTTTTTTTTTTTTTTTTTTTTTTTTTTAATCATAATAGTTGGTCATTGGATCATTAATACTTTCGCATTCTGCGATAAAATTTTACTTCACAGCATTTCGCCACAATGTTCGCGAGCTTTTTGTTGTTTGCAATTTTCTAAGCAACAGCCGCTGTGGAAAATACATCTTTTGTATTCACCTAAATTTTGAAGGTCTCAACCTAGGTCTATGCCTAGACCTTTGCATCTATTAACGGTAGATTTCTTTTGGTTTATTTAATTACGGCAAAGCATCTAAGGACTATCTGCCCAAGGGAGGAATATGTTCATCGAAAGCCGGCTCATAGCCACGTCACACATGTAGGAACCATGAATATGCCCATGTCGTCAGCCTGTTCGCCTAGAATCGAACCCAGGTTAAACTAAAAGTATTAAGCGAATTTTAGCTCACACTTGCTATTGGGCCACCAACTAACGGCGGTAACGACACTTAACCGCCAACGTAAGATTACGTTGCAAGACGATATATAAAAAATCAGATACCAGTTTTTTGCTGTTAATGAAAAATAAAAGGAAAAAAATCTGAAATATTTCAGATTTTAAATTACGTCCAAAGGGGCGTTTTTTTAACATTTTGTGTGTTACATTTATTTATTAAATATCACGTTCTTCGCACTTAAACCATAAAATTCAGCTCAACAGCAATATCGCAAAACATTTTTAAATGAGCATATCTTTAGAATTTCTGATAGAGAGACTCACGCGGAGATAAAAATGATTTTTCTGTACAACGTTGCCATTACTCGCTTTGAAATCCTTGAGTTTGTTAATAAAAAAAAATTCGTTAAATTTTTACGAAATAGGAAATCGATAAAATAACAAATTCCAAATTTCATATTTGGTCTTCCACATGCCCATTCAAAATTGGATTGCTCTAAGGTACCTCTTGTTTCTCTTGTTTTATCACTATGCGAGAAATACACATACATTTATGCAGATTTTTCATTATTTAATTTCTTTAAATATAACACAGCGCGATAGCACCAATAGTTTGAAAAATAATTAGCCGTTTGTAACGAATCGACGCAAAATCGCAAAACGAAAACAATAGTCTTTCAGAGACAAATCCCTTTGGACTAAAAATAAATACAGTATTCAAAATAACATTAAGAATTAAAGTTTTAAATGGAATATAATAATTCTTAAGATAACCAATGCATGGGTTTATCATCTGAATTTTTTAAAAATTGTAAATCAAAAGTTTTAAAATTTTTTTTTTAAATAAATATTATGGGTAACATAAGCAATTTAGTGTATGACTATAGTTGCTCCATAAATTAATTATTAAATAATAATTATTTAACTTAATTCCATTGAACAACAAAGCAATAGAAATGAAAAGGGATAACTATGCGTTACATATACAGTCCCTATAAAGGAAGAACTATGAAAGTACAGTATAAAATAGCTAAATATGTTCCAGCGTTAGTAATTAGCAAAATCACGAATTAAATCCTTTTTTATTTACATCAAACACAATAAAAAGTTTTAAAAATATTATAAGATGCCATTCTGTTTACACACTGGCCTTTGGAAGGTAAAAGTATTTTATTTTGTGCAGTGGTAACACATTGTTTTTAAATCTATGAGTTTGCTGATTAGTTTGAAAGATATCTATCCTACGCTTTGCTATATGACAACACTCTGGCACGTGGAACATCAGAGTATTTTAGTTTTCGGCAGAGGCCTCACACTGCTTTTAAAACGCTGGCTCTGCAATCAAAAGGTCATTAAATTCTCAGGAAACAAGTCTAAATTCAATATTCGAGATCTACTCTGCGAAAAGAAAAAAAAACTGTTCCATATCTCCCGTTCTACTGGGCCGATTGACAAAATTCAAATTGAGTTTTTCATGTCTCGAAAGCACGACTTATAATATATATTATATTTATATATAGCATTGTTCTAACATGGGTATTTTAACAGAAAATCGGACTTTTTCTGAAAAAACATACCATTTTTTTTTCATATCTCGATTCTACGACTCAAATTATGCCTAGATATTATAAATTTTGTAAAATTTGATGCGGAATTTACGGAGAAATTCAAAAATTTACCTTGGCAAAATGTTTTTAGTTTGCGCCAAAAATAATTCACTTGGCGAACTTCTTACTATATGACACCTTCCATTATGCCGGAGCGGAAAAAAGGCACCTCGTTCCTACCTTTTTACGTTGTGCCTAAGCAGAAAAAAGTCACATCGTTCCTACTTTTAAATAATTTTGACAGGCCGCCCAGACGGTATAGTGGTTAGGGAAGCCTGATTGCGATAAAGAAGAGCCTGGGTTCGAATTACGAAGAAGGCATGGTTATAACTGTCCGTTACTTCATAGGAGGCGATGGTGGAACACCTAATCTGGCCTTGTATAGATTAATGGACTGTGTTACACTGTAACCGTTCACAATCTGCCATTGGAAAAAAATAACAATTTTAGCAAAGTGTCTGAACACATCTGATTTTTATCGCTTTCAACAAATATACCAAATTTCAAAACGGGCCAATAAATAAATTCAAGTATATCTTCGGAAGTTTTGAATAAAAAACTAATTTTTTTGCAAGTATGCTTAGAAATACTTCTACTTTAAGATGAGGGTAAAAACTTTATAGATTACAATTCAAAATGTTTTTCGAAAATTTAAAAAATTATTTTAAAATACAAATTTTAAAAAAAATCATAAAAATGGGCGAATTTTATTTGAAATGACCTGAATTTGAAATGTGAAAGAAGAATCAAATAAGTTAATAAAAAAGAGAATTAATAAATATATACCAAACTCAATTAGCATTGAGGAGCTGAAATTTTGAGAGCTAATTTTTTAAGAACTACTCGTGCGATTTTTACAAAACGTGGTAGTTTGGCGTAATTTGAGTCGCAGAATTGAAATATGAAAAAGATATTGGTATGTCATTGCAGAAAAAGTCCGATTTTGTGTCAAAATCCCTATATTAGAACAATACTATATATAAATCTAATACATATCCCAAGTGGTGCTTTCGAGACATGAAAAACACAAGTTGAATTTCTTCAATCGGCCTAGTAGAACGGGAGATATAGTACTGTCCTCTTCCCCCCCCCGCAGCGTACATGTTTGGATGCAGGACTACGTCTATTTTGAAAATTTGGTGGCTCTAGATGCCGTCGTCTTTCCACAGCGTGATGCACAGACATTCTGCTTTTTCATTATTTAACAGCATACATTTAGTCATATTGTGTATATGTAGAAAATATTATTATTTCATTAAATATGAAATTTTAAAGAGAATAATGCATTTATTTATTTATTTTTCAAAGCTCAAAGTTGCAATAATGGTGTCGGCAAGTTGATGTTCGAAAGAGTTGCTGACTACAAATTATCCGGTACAAATAGCAACAATTTTGGAGGAACACGAAGAGCAGAAGTCGTAAGTTTGTTTTTTAATATGTTTACAACATTTCGAATGGTAAAATTTAAAATCTACGATTCTTTAAAATATTAAACGAAATTTAATTTCACTTTTTTTCAAAGTAATTAGTAATAGATCGTTAACATTACAGATGCAGTTGTTGTTAAAGTTGTAGAGAATGGTTAGTTCTGCTATTCTTACTCTGTATTTCTGAATTATGAATATGACACAGTGACTGGAAACTATGGATATGTCTATATTACTAAAATTATGGATCGACACAATGACCAAAAACTATGGGTATGACTATATTACTGAAATTAAGGATGACATTCCAGCATTTATTTTAGTAAGGAATGCGCCTGCGTATGGCGGACCGTTGTTGCCAAAATGCCGTATTTCAAAGATGGCTATCAATGGAATAAAACGGAGAGATACTGTTTTATAAACATTAAAATGTGCCCCATAAATTTCCTGGTTGCTTTAACCACAGAAACGGAAGTTGTATTTCATTATTGTGCCGAAGGTAAAAGCATGTTTTCCATTCCTTCCTGCAATCCTCTAATAAATATTCTGCAAACGTTGTGACTGTGAAGTGCTTATTTCTGGTGCACCGTCACGGTTGCTTAATTTTTAGAGACAACTTAAAACGCGACAGTTCAGTAGAATTTCAGCAACATTTATCGTATTACCTCTACACAAACCCGGCATTCGAACGGAAAAATTAACATCGTGAACACATGTGACTGTTTAATAACTTAATACTAAATGCTGAAAAGTAGATTATAGAAGGAAAGTTTAGAGAAATGTATCTGTAATAGAGTTTGCGAATTTTCGGAAAGTACAGTTGTGACAAAAAAGCGGCTTATTTTGCACTAAAAATTTAACGGGAAAGAAGCGCGTTTGAAAAGTGCTCTTCCAGTCTACGAGATCTTGTCAATATATTTTTTATCCTCATTTAATCGTTCTCGAGGGAAAGAAATCATTTTCCCATTCAAAGTATAACTCATATAGTATTAACTTGACTTCCTCGGGGAGGCAACGCATCACTGGCTGTCTTGCTTATACGGCTAACCACGCCCGGTTGCAGTGTAACTCATAAGAGCCTTCAAGCCCGGTCTGAGCTCTTTCTCTGACGTAATGTCCCTAAAATGTTGTGTCCAATGATTGGCGAGTTTTCGCCTGGTACTGATTGATTATAAGATAGATTCCAAAGTTAAAAATCTAGCATTATTAATTCACAACATGAGGATAATAGTACTAAAAATAGAAACCACTAAACTCTAAGCTATGTCGTCAATTTCGCAACAACAACAACTTGCTGCTAAACTAAATTTAAGACGTCATTAGAAAAACAAACTGGACTCAAATCTATAGCATACTTTGAGTCGGCTATATAAAACCAGCTGATTGCTCAACACCGAGGTCCATCAAACCTTTGGTAGATCTAGACACTACTCTTCGAATGGCTTCCAGCAAGGCAGCAATATTCCGGAACAAATTTCAGTAAGTTTAGGATTAATATTACATCCTAGCTTCAAACATACCACTTGCCGTAAAACTTGCTTAACCGTCTGGTCTAAGCAAGTATCTGACGAGATAAGGAATGTAGGAAGTGGAATTTAATTCATAAATAACAAATTTTCAAAAGAATGAACTTCTCCATAACTGCTACCGAGATGGCATTTTCTTACGGATACGTGCGCACTTGTTGGGAACCAAGAAAATAATCCTTCAGAGAGTAATTAGCTCTGTAACTATGAATTTATTTTTTTTCATATACTCTTTAGTTTATATCTATTATCGAAATAAATGGTTTTTGTTATTAATTTTATAAATAAATGCATGTCTCTCAGATGATAAAGAGGAGAATCACAGAGATCTATTTTGTTTTTGCTTTCTATTCAGTAAAATTTAAATTTTCCTTTATTTAGACAAATTCTGTACATACACTATCAGGACAGGTATTTCTCCTTATCTGCTTTGCGAACATTAAGTGTCCTGAATGGTAACAGTGAGCTGACTGGAAGCTATGTTCTGTGGGAATTGTAAAAAAGATGACTAAGATGCGAAGGGTTTAACTACCCTTTATTCTCCAAGATATTGCAGGCGCTCCCGCACTTCGGGATACAAAGACCAACCACTTGTAGTCTGAACGTAAAAAATATAAGAACTACTAACTAACTAAATTTACATAAAAGCTAAACTTTGAATACTTTACTCAGATGACTAACACAAAGACTGGTCTTTCAAATTATTATTCATGTAGTACGCAAACTGCGGAAAACTGCAATATGTCTTTGGATTTCAAAGGACTAAACCTTTGGCCTTAAAGGCGGACAGCAGCTGATTGCAGGCACGCGTAAAGTATAGTGGTAAGAAGGCTCACTCTCTCCCCATCTAACTCTGGCGAAAAGCCACTACTTAAATACTTGAGCGTTAGCAAGTACAATTTGCATAAACAATTTAAAGCGTTTATTTTGGCCGGAAGTGGAAAATAAGAGAGGGCAGTAAAGTTTTAAAAGAAAATAAACGTTAGTCAAACGTAATATCCTTACAACACCTTTTTTTAAAGCAAAATTTTTAAAGCAAGCACAAATATTATGTTGAGTACTTCCTCAGCATCTTTTAAAGCAGAATACTGAGGTAGCAAGCAGTGATTTGATAAATCAGAAATAATAAACTAGAAAGGTTTTGGAAAACAATTACATAAACAAACAGCAAGAATACGTAAAATAGTGATCTTGGATTTAAACAAAATGATCAGTCTTGTAGAAATTTTATTACTTTTAATCACAGTACATTAGAATAGGTCTTATTACCAAACATTTCTTCAGATTTCCTGAATTTGCTGTGTCTTTTTTGTTAAATTTTCCCTGAAGCATTGAGCTGAATACTTCTGGAAAAACATTCATGAATCTGAGATCATATAGTCAGATGTCATAAAGATATCATAAATATAGACAAATACACTTCTTATACTTTGTCATAGTCAAATAACCTATCTTATGTAAAATCAAAGCTTTGAGAATGGAATATACACATACACAAATTTAACTCTGGTAATCAAAAATTATTTTTAAACCTAAATGTACTATTTTGGGCATATTTCATATCTAATACAAATTAAATATTGAATTAAGTTATTTGTTTGTTTATTGTGAATTTCAGATTACACGAAAAGATCTGCCTATTAGAGTTCTGTCTGAATGCATACGAAGATGTGCCGAAGACAGGACAACAACCCAGCATGTTCCACAGTGTCGGTCGTTCGATTTTCTGCCAGGTAAAAGGTTAAGCCCTGTACCTTCCCACGAAGGAAATGACTTAGGTCCTGGAAGGACTAATATTGTTGCCGAATATGAAGATTCAAGTTGTTATCTTTATTACGATCAGGCATCACCTGACGGCTCAGAGACGTTAGTCCAACAACACAATGTCTGGCATTTTAATGAAGTTTGCATCACATGTAAGTATTGTAGACTATATGAATCTACGCTTAGTTATGCAGGTGATTTTAATTTTTTGTAAAGCTCAAAACTTCATAAAATTTGTTTGTAATTTTTATTTCGGCATGTTTCTTATAATTTTAGTAAAAGCTATAAGGTATTTCTCCCGCCTTCCTAGCGTGCCTTCGTGGTGTAGTGGTTCTGCACACTGGGCCGGAATTCCAGAGGTCCACGGTTAGGCATTGTTAATTTTTCATTTTGCCTGCTTCCAAAAAAAATTACCTATTATCTCTACAAAGCTATCAGCTTTCGTATAATTTTTAAATGTTAACATCCTGAGTGCCATTCACTGGTAATTTGTGGAAATTTGAAATTGCTGGTAATTTTGAATTTGACTAATAACTGAATTTAATCGAAATACATGTTGTAAACTTTTGAATCCCTGTTATCAGGTTTCAAAAATTTTTGCTTTCGAAAATTTGGCTTTAGAAAATTTAATTATCTTCAGTACTTTCATTTAATATTCTTTAATAGATCAGTTTCAATATAACATTAATTTCATTTAATGTTATAAGATTCTGTGTTAACCTTGGCTCAATTATTTATCACAAACTTCGTCATATTGAAACAAGTATTATCTTCCAGTTATCGATATAAAAAAGTCTTTTTTTATCCATTTTCTTATATGAATTACTAAAGTACCCTATACTTTAATTTTTTTTAAATATTCCTTAAGAAATAACTCTAACAGCAAATTTATTGAATAAAACCTGATTAAAAATTTAATACTGATGGAAGTAACGGTTTATTGATTAATTACCACTCTCTCAAAGAATGATCATTACAGGCTACATTTTGCCATCTTCCCATGATGGATAACTCTGAGAAACAGTATTTTTAGCATCTGACATTTATATGTTTTAATTTATTTATTTATTTATTTATTTATATCTATCTTTAAAAAATGATAAGACGTATTCTGGGATTTGAACTCATGAATGTTATAGTTTTTATTTAATTTCAGGTCTTTTAGAAAGATTAATTCTGTCAATGTTCGACTTTCACTTACATATTACAGTTTAATTAGTATATTTTACCTTTGAAGTCATTTGTGTTGATTTCACCTGAACAAGACTTCTTAGATTTTACTGAGTGCTAATTACTTTCAGCGAGTAAGGTGAGCACTGAATGTAGTAATCGGTTATATGTCATGGAAAGGACTCCTGGATTCCGATTCGAGGGCAGTGGCGACCGTGAGCTCTTTGCCGTGAATCGCACTGACTGTGAGAGCAAGTGTATCAATGAAGAAAGCTTCAAATGTCGATCCTGCAGCTTCGACAGAGCTGGATCCGTATGTCGGCTAAGCAGAGAAACGAGAGCCATGAATCCTGCAGGTTTCATGACAGATGCCAATAGCGATTACATGGAAAACCTTTGTTTATCTGGTCAGTATTTCATACTTAACTATACATTAGGTACTTATGGTAGGTTTTGAAATGGAATTTAAAGAAATTAAGGTACTTCAATTAAATTATCTGTAACTGTATTTTTACTGCAGCGCTCAGGCATACTCGAAAAACATAGTTACATTACTATCAATATGCAGATGCCTTAAATTTTTCACAACAGCGTGGCTTTAAAAAAATTTTCCAAAATTACTACTGCCATATCTATAAATTTAGCCCTTCATAGAAATTTCATATGGTTATTACAGAAACGCATATTCAAAACGTTTCTTATGTTGACAACTGAAATATCATTATTTATGAAATAGATGATTATCATACTTCATTCAGCGCGAATCAAAAATAAATTATATTAAGAAAGCAATACGATTATAGATATGAAGCAGTTCCAAAATTAGGATAATTGGCCGAAATAAATGCCATCTTTGTCAGCTCAGAGCAGGGCATTCAATTAAAGAGATATTTAAAATATAAAGTTTTAATCTACCTAGAAATCCAAATTCAGACCTTGGATACTTACAGCTCGCTGCTCTCATTTAGCTACTGGTGAAATTTTGTCCACACAAATGGAATCTCGCTAATTATGAAAACAAAAATTTAAATCCAAACTAAAGTACTTTATTTGGATTTTCAACTGATAGTTTTACAATTTAAAAATGTGTTAAACGTAGTCCAGTGCAACTTGTGTAACCACACTAACTTATTGCTAAAGTTAAGTATAAGTAACTAGAACGTTAGACTCAACCAAGCCAAAAGCTGCTAAGCCTAAGGATTTCACAAAAATTAAAAATTTCTTTACCCATTAAAGTTTAAATTTGCTTAACCACACAACTTAGCGTTGAATTAAACTATATTTTCTTCTAAATGAAATTGCGACATGGATAAGCGCAGAGAAGTCACCAGCTAGTAATCCATGCTATATTCTAACTGCTGGATAACACAGCAGTATCCGATATTTCACACACGAATAATTTTAATCATCTGGAAACAGTTGAGATGTAACTAAAGAAATTAAAGGTAATTAAAGAAACAAAATTAATTAGGTAAATTGAAAACTGACAGAATAAGTTGCATTCTGTCACATAATATGACTAAGTTGCAAAATATGCAATTTGTTTCACTAAATAGTTAAGGAATTTTCTTCAGTTGCAAATTATTAATAAACAAAATTTAGATTTTCTCCTTTGTTACATAGATTTATCTTCGAATTCCATGTATTTAGCTTCGAATACGAATTCCCCATATGATATACTTAATCAACACCATAAGAGTTTTATAATAACTTTGAAGCAAACCAGACCGATCATAAATTTGTTAGCTTACTTCTGGATCAGCTAAATACTCTGACAGAAGTGCAATTGAATGTAAACTTTCTTGTGTTTATATTATGAATATTTTTATTACATTGTGTATGATATATTAAGCACAAATATTAGAACTTGATCATTTTACTTAAGTCTCTTGTTTATTCATATCGCAACAGGATCCGATTTGTGTTCGGCAACCGCTCTTATTCTCGAAGCTGGAAAAGAACTAGAAGGTGCCTATGAAAGGGACCTTTTCACAGTCAGAGACTTCAAAGATTGTTCTGATAAATGCATACACAGCTTGACAGAACGAGGTTTTATGTGTAGATCTTTCCTGTACTATGACAAAAGCAAGACATGTGTCCTATACCCGGACGATCCCGTTGGAGATGCCGAAGGACCAGATATACAAAAGCCATTGAAAGCCAGCAGTGGGGATCTGTACCGAGTGTTTTGTGGAACATCGGACAGAGGTAAGCATTCTAATAGGAAAAGAATTTAGTGCTTTTAATATTCAAATATAAAAGCCTCATCTCTTTTCGGAAAAGAATTAATTATATTGTAAAATATAAGTAATTTTTAAAAAATTCCTCGGCTTAAGTGACAAATTGCTAAACTAATCGCCAGACTGTTTAACTCATTTGCAGGTGATTACCCCAGCAATAAACACCAATAGAATGCAGACAATTATTTTTATAATTTATGTAATTTATAACTTATGTATTAATTTTATAACTTATGTAATGAGGCCACTATGTGCACTCCAACTTGCTGAGCAAAAACTCTGAATTATAATACACTTTAATAAATTATGTAAATAACACTGAAACGCAAATCGAAGAACAAATTATGTCGCCAACTTAAGTGCTCCTGACAATCGAAATTCATATTATAAGGTAATTTCTCCTTCCTTTCAGCATACGTTTATGGTGTAACTGGAAACCCGCTCAACGCGTAATCGTGAAGACGAGCGTTCGAATCCTGACGAGGGCACTGCGGATTTCTTCAGCTTCCTAACATCGAAAAGTTTTATAATAACTTTTCGATAATTCGCCATTAGCGGGATTTGGCGATTGGGTCCCTTCATATCCAGTCGCCCTTTGAAAGGGGGAATATATAAGGTATTTTCCCCTTCCTTTCCGCATGCTTTCGTGGTGTAACTGGAAGCACACTCAACGAATGTTCGGGGGTTTCGAAGTTGGAATATCGATGAAGGCGCTTCATATTTTTCACATCTGCAGTAACAAAAAACCTAATGACTCTACAACATAACTCACAATAACCAACAATATATCTACATAAGCATGTTATCCCCTTCTGGTTTCAATAGATACAGGAATTATAAAGGTTTTCCTCATTCCTTCATGCACACTCTTCTGAAGTAAGTGGTTAGTAGAGCCACCGGGTAATTAGAAGATCCCTAGTCCGAACTCTGCTAGGTAGCATATGATTTTCGTGCTTCTCGTTAATAATCTTTACAATGGCATCTAAACTAAAAATGTGGTAGAAGATAGCTCGTCACGACTTGGATTTGGTCGACGGCATCTCGTGCCTTTTCTCAGTCGCCTTTTCAATGCGGAAGAATGTAAGGAATTATTGCAATTTCCAGATGCGTGTTCTTGCCATACAAGAGGTTAACACAACCAGCTGGTAATCAGAAGATCCGTAATTTGAATCCCAATGATATCGTAGTTGATTTTTCTAGTTTCCCATATCGAAAGGTTTATTAACATCTACAGCAGGGCCCGAAACAAATGTGATAAGCGAAAGACTCAAAACTTCAAAATGCTTATCAGGGTACCTCTGTTTAAGTACGAAAACGTAAGCGAATTTCTGTTTAAGAGTATCTCTGTTTAAGCATATTACACTCTCCCAGCTCTATAGAGAAAGGGGCTGTGAAAAATTATCATATTTTCCCATCCGTGTTCATGTGGTTAAGTAGTTAGCACATCAATACAGAAATTGGAAAATCCCTACTTCGAATCCCAAGAAGGAAAAGGATGAATTATCTTGTTACCTCCTTCGAAATAGTTTCGCCAACCCGAGATAGTGATGCAACACCGAGGCAACTTAGGTCAAAGACCTTACCCTCAATCGAAACTTTGGTCATTTACGAATAAATACGAGGAAGTAACTAAAAAAGAAATATGTAAATAATTATTAACGATTAAGAATGAATTATTAACGATTAAGTACAATAATGAATTTTAGCCGTATCTAAATTGAATGAAGAGTTAATATCTTTTTTGAAATAGTTTTTAAAACATATTAAATGAGAATTATAACAGAAAAGCGTATCCAAGCTTCATTTGCCTCTTTTTCAAATTCTTCCGAATAAGTATTTTGAATACGCGATAAACTTACCCAATTTTTAAAGCTGTGTCAATTATGTTTCATACTTAATTTTAAAGAAAAGCGATTTATAAACTTTTGCTTTGTTCAGATTTGATTTAATAATTATGCTGTGAAAAAAAGAAAAATTGTACTTTTTTTATGCGATAAGATGGACTAAAAAGTGTGCCCTGATATCTGTTTCCCCATAAATAGAAGCTCCTATTCCGAGTTGTCAAAACAGGTTTTCATACTAATGAAAAAATATTTATCATTGCCATTGTTAGAAAGGTAAAGCAGAGGAGGGAAAAAAAGGTTCTCATTAAACTCTCGAATAATATTTTTTTTCGGAGCCGCACAAAATTGTGACAATTACTGTAATATTTTTTATTATTGTCTGTAATGTACATATGCATTTGAGAGTTTTTGGTTTGAAAGCTACGAGAAACTAGCCAAATTAAAATTAAATGTTCAATTTAAAATCAAAAAGACATAAACATTTAATGATGACAACTGCGTTTAAAAGAATTTTAATCAGTAAACACCATCTCTACAGTAAATAAAAAAATTGCATTTGCTATTTTAATCAACGCCGTATAGATACGGATTTGGGTAAAACGTTTTTCAAAGATTGTCCGTTTAAAAAAACAGCAGTTTCAAGCTTGAGTTATTTACTTTTGTATATATTATATTTGATAGTTTTTTTTAAAACATAAAATGTGTTACACATGATATTTGCAAAGCATTTTTAATGCTTCTATATTTGACATTACTGTAGGTTTTTCCTAATATTGCGTAGTTAATCTTCAGCTGGAAGCAAATCTTTGATGCCTGTAGAGTCATTAAGATTTTGGATAGCAGAAAATGTGAAAAATGAGCAATTCGCTCGCCGGGACTCGAACCTGGACCTCTCGAATACGCGCCGAATGAGCTACCATTACACTACGGAAACATGCATAAAGGAGGGGGAAAATATCTTATACGCGTTTTTTAAAAAAAGTGTTCATTTTGCGAAGGTGCAATTATGAAGACAATGATCACTATAATGAGGAAACTAACTGGCTTGAGTAATGATTAGATTGGATTATTTAGATTATAGCAAAGCAGTCGAAGGTCATCTGCCTAAGAAAATGGATGCCTTCGTGGAGGAATTTCTTAAACAAATTGGCTTTTATTCACATTACCCACGAGGAAAACCATGAAAACTCCAATGCAGCCAGCCCGTTCACCGGGATTTGACTTTGGATAGAACTACTGATGTGTTTTAGCGATTACTATTCCATAGGCAAACACTTGCCCGAAACTGAAAATTAAGCAATTTTTTTTTCAATTTCAATTTAATGTTATTGAGCTTTATGAAATTTTACGCCCTCTAGTTTTTGTGTCTTTAATTTTAATATTTAAGCATAATTTATTATTACTAGTGTATATATTAAGCTTATTTTAAATGTTTCTGTTCATGTGAATCACCATTATGTAAATTATGTGATAAAATCATTGGAAAGTTATTATGCATATTGTATCTATGTGTGTAACACAAGCCCTTCGTTTATTGTATTACAGACAAAAATTCTGAAAAGTTGTTTGAAATTACGAAATTGCGAACATCATTTATTATTATCAAATATATTTAAAAAAATTACTGCATGAATGTGTTACGGAAAATAGTAGCAAATCAGACGAATTATTCGTTTGCAAGCGTCGCAGCAAGTCGCAATGTTTGGGAAAATATTTTCTTGGAAAGTGCTGTGAAAATATTTAAGTCTTAGAATAGAAATTGCCTGTTTAAAGGCATAAAACACTTTTGTTATACAAATATATAATTAACAATGATTTTTAAACCTATTCTCTTTCGGAAGAGTTTTCAGTCACTGGAAAAGACGAGATGTTACAATTATGTCTCAGCCTGGTTTGATGGTTCCTTTTCACATATAACTTTTTTTTTTCATATATAAGTTTTAAATACAGTCTTAAATAAAACAAATGCGATGCTAGTTTTTAATATTTTACCTAGTTGGCAATATTTTAAATTATTATTTAAACTGTTCTTGAGATTTTAGATGAATTAGAAGTTTTATATTTTAAAAAAGGCATTTTATTAATAATACTTCTGTCTAGTAGACATCAATTTTAATCTCTGCTGCAAAACTGAAATTTTTATCTTTCAGAAATCTAATATTATCTAGTATAAGGAAATACCGTAATCTGAAAGAGCTCCTGATTAAACAGGAAAAAGTGTTTTTAGGGGGCACCCTGTTTCTTCATTCTGTGTTGTATCACCTTGTTTTTGAAAGAAACTTGAGTAGCGTAACTAGGAACCATTTCACCGGTGTTATTTGTGCTTCCTTCAGATTACTTATGCTGCAATTTTATCATTATGATATAATAATTCTTACATTATTTAATAAACCGAGCAATGAAATTTTGATTTTGCTCGTTAGATTAAGAAATTTATTAAGGTTTTTTATGAGATTGGAATATTGTGTCTTTGGTGGTTTTCACCTTATATACGAGATTTGAGATCAATTCCGTTTTTTCTCGTTCAGATGCCCTGATCAACAACCTGACGTTCGAATGTTATCGCCGGAAGCGCTTAGACGGACCCCACCAGGCTGAGACCAAGTCCTATTCATTTCAAGAATGTCTGGACGAGTGCATGCGGCGCTATGGACGCGACTGCCGTTCTGTTGAGTACAGCTCGAGGTATCAGTCTTGTCGATTCAGCAGTTATGACGGAAGCATGAAACCTAGCCTCGTAGATGATGACTTCTATGACTATTACGAGTTCAAGTGGTGTACGTATTTTGAAAGAATACTTCATCTTTCGCTATTGCATCTTGCTGCGTCGTAATCATACATTCAATAGTCATATTCACTAAGTAAAGATAAATGATAAATAAATCAGCAGCATATTTTCATATGAAAATTTACAATATTCCAAACTTAACTTTGAATATAATTAAAATAAAGCCTCTAACTAAGTTGGAATAAAATATATGTCTTTATTTTTAAATTTTTCAGTTCGAGGTGTGGGTGGCAACAGTGGCAGTGGGAGTTTCGGTACACGTGGGGGTCCCTGGTCAGGAGGTTCTTCAGCTCAAAGTGGAGCAGCAAGCTGGCCTAGCAGCGGTGGGTCAAGCGGAGGAGGTGGCAATCCATGGAGTAACGGAGGCAGCAGCATCTGGACTGGAAGTGGTGGTTGTAAGTTCTCAGATATTTAAATCATTTGGTATTTATTAAAGGATAAAACAATAGTACATCAAAAATTACATGTAAGAGCTCATTACAGTCCATAGATACAAACAAAGCAGTGGAAAGCATAGTATTTGTTTTCATTCAGTACCCTTCGATAAATAAATAAGTTTCATGCCTGCATCAAACTATGCAATCACGCTTAAATCCAATGAAAAGGTGTAAGCTGAAATCTAATGAAAGGGAAATTAATCCAATGAATCGTTTGTACGCTGAAATCCAATAAAAACGTGTTTTGCATACATTTCTCTTCTCTCTTTTTGTGTATAATGTCCAAAAAGGATATTTGGATAAAAACATTTTGGACTCCATACATTTTCCGAATTTTCGTGAAGTGATCAATTAGTGCAGTAAGGTTTTAACAAATAAAGTGGCAGTGTATTAGGGGAAATTACTGGAGACATTAAAACTCCTCAAAATATAAAAGGTGGATTGTTTTTCTCAAGCTTCAGTTATTTTTACTTCCTTTTATGAAGTAAATAAAGTATTTTAATCTCGAAAATTTAAGAAAATATCTATTTTTACCGCTCTCGAAATCATTTGAAAGATGGTTTTGCATGTTACCTGTACGTAAGAACAGAATAAAGAATTTTCTTTCCAAAACGAGTAGTAAAATTGATTTAAAATGGATTCAGAAAAGATTTTTTTCGAGACGTTTGTACGTATGTATGTATGTATGTATATATCTGGCATAACTCAAAATCGAGTAGCCGTATAACGTTGAAATTTTGTGAATGAGATTGCTAAAACTTCTAGTTGTGCATCTCTCTTTTTCTTTGCAATCGGCTTCGCCCAAGCGTATACATACACTCCCACTCTGTTACCCGGCTCGGTGAGTTCAGTTTCTTTATTCTTATAAGTTGGTAAATAGTTCATTCCCCCCTTTAATTGTGATTGAATTATGTTATTCTTATGTTTCGGTTAAGATCTTTACGCCTTTAGCTAATCTGCATGCAATAGTCGTGGAATTACCCACAATTTAAAGTTTTTTTAAGTGGTATTAAACCTAACGAAGCTGCTATTTGTTTACATTTGAAACTCTTAGTAAAATAGTGAATTAAGTCAGTTGGTGCGTCAACTGCAGTGTCTTTTTGCCTAGTGGGACTAAAAGATAACTTTCAGTTTTGTGCGGTGAAAATTTTGTCTCCCTGTCCAATGCCGAATTTCAGAAATTGGCCGAATGTAGAAATCCTAATTTTAAATGCGGTTTTTTAACTGTTTTTTACTGTATTTGGTGTTTTAAGTATTTTATAATTTTTAATTAAAGTTGTAGAGTCCACTACCGTAACTCCTGTGGAAGAACTGTAAGAGTAGTAACTTCACAGAAGGAGGGTTAAAAGTACGCTTTATTAACTCTTTAATTTTTACAATGCGTCAGCTCGACGCTAACAAAGTACGCCTCTGCTTGGGCGTAAATGAAATCGAAGAACAAACTAAAGATTTATGATATGTACAAGTCGTTGAACTAAACTACAGGGCTCAGAATAATTCCTCTTTCTTAAAACCCCCGTCTAAAACTAGTTGCAGTAAGTAAATGCAATTTAAGCCACGCGAACCAACAATTCTGGGAGCAGATGCTTAAGCAGCAGAGGTGACGGCAAGTGTCTAACTGTCCCTCTTTCCTACTGAACCTCGGTTTTTCAACTCTTTCTTCAAGGCTGAATTTGCATTTCTGCACGCGCGTTGCCAAATTTAAATAACTTGGCACTGACAATTAGGGGAATGAAGGCTTATAGGAGAGAATAACCAATTAAATAAAATTGGTTATTTAAAATAATAGAAATCCCTACAATGTGTTGTGAGTTTTTATATATTTTTGTCTTGCCCCGGAGTAAGAATTGAATTGATGAAATACCCTTATATGCGGTCAGGTCGTAAATTTAGAACCCCTTTTTTCACAGGGGGGCTGAAAAGTAGGGAGTAATCTTGCTCGGGGTCTTGGGGGTCGTTTAAACATCTAACTTCTCCACATTCAGTTTTATACAGAGGAAAATACAAATTGAATTCTTCGAAATGAATGCAGTTTTTGTACATGAAAATGTATTACTTAATGATAAACTGTAAGATAAATAACATCTTTTTTTAAAGCCATAGGTGTAGAAAGACAGATATTTGTTACACGAATGATTTTGTAGTAAATATTGAGTTTTTCATTTCGAATGCTATGTTCCATGTATGCGAAGTAGCTGAGTATGTGAGATAATAGTCATAACCGAATGGCTTTCAAACCTTTTCATTTCACGGCTAAGACTGTTTCTCTCAATTACATTGTGGTCGCTGCTTTTTGGTTAATTTCCTAATGACATCTAAACAATAGTTTGTTTTTATTTGAGACTTATGAATAAAATAACGCAAACTAGACTGCCGAAAATTCTTAAGAAGGAAGTTAAATAATACTGAAAGATACATTATTGATGCACTTTTGTGTTTTATATGTAGTAGTATTAACTACTACTATAATCCTTAAATGAAATCCTAAAATTATATATATCTATGTATAGGTATATATAAATGGAACCATATATAGAACAAGGTATAAATATCTTATTATACATGTTCATTACCATACGTATATTTATGTAATATCAATATAAATGGTTAGTTAGGTTTCGTACATATATAATTTATTTTTATATTTTGTATTTTTTGTATTAATTCAGTATTGTATACATATCTGAAGTTTAATTTGTTTCTCTTTTGGGTTACGACTTTAAGTGAGAAAGAATTGTTAGGGCCTTCATATAGGAATTACATTATATACAATCAGTTAGGATCCTACTTTTCCTTTCTTTTTTTAATCATTATATATATTGAAATATTACTTGATAAGTATACGTAAATATAGCAGTTTTTAAGCTACTTATATCTATTGTTTGGTCTGGTTTCTTTCGTCTTTGATTATAGCAAAGCATTCGACTGTTATTTTGCCTAAGGGTAAGGGTGCCTCGTGGAGAACTTTCTAAGCAAAACTGACTCTTATGCACGTTACACGTGGGGAAAACCTCGAAACCCATACAAGCCATCCCCCGTCGATCCGGATTCGAACCCCGGATCGACCTGCCAGGTTTTACAGCTCAGCCGCTAGTGAGCTAACACACACACACATCCACATATATACATTAAATAGTATTTACATGTCGTTTATAAAGTATAATTGAGTGCAATTTAATCATAAAGAGAAAATATTCTAACGGAATTACTTCACTTCGTAGACTTTCTGCTAAGCTTCACCATATTCTGAAAGAGAATCTCAATGCTAGTTCCATTTCCAAGCTGTTTATGTACCTTATTTTTCATGCTTTGAATTATATTTAGAAAATTATTTCACTTGGTTATAGCTGAAAATGCAGTTTTTTTATTGAAGAATTTTAAGGGTAAGAAGAGAGTTATGCCCTTTTTCTAATTATTCTTGAAACATTTAAATTTTTTTAAAAAAAAGCGCACATTAATACGGATCACTGAACTAAAGTGCTCGATACAGGACAGATTAATTAGCTACTAAATTTTGATTTTCATTGAGTAAAAATGAATTTATCTGCATTCTATAAGAAAGTAAATATTCAAAAAATGTTTTTTTTTTTTTTTCCTATTCTCGCAGTCATAATATTTTTCTTAAATATTCAGCTAATTCATATTCAAATATTCCAATCCATTAGAATTAATAATAAATCAATACAGTAAATAAATAATTAAAATCAATTAAATGGAATTTTAATTGATTTAAATTGCCATTTTCCCTCTGATAAAAACCCCTCTTCAGAGTTTAATAGCATCGATCACTTTTGTTGGGGTTCATTTTTCTTTATGGTATGCTTACGTTATATATATGTATTATGCATTGCTCATACTCGTCAATTGCAGCTTTAATATCTTTTGAAAAAAATCAATATGAGAATCCAGAAAATGATTCTTAGTGACGCTAAAACTATTATTACTAGGCACTGTTATGCCACAGTGTTTAAAAAAAAAAATCCCATTGTTTAAAAGGTAGATTTAAACTCATATCCTAGTTTTAAAATTAAAAGCTGCGAGTCAAAATTAAGGGGGTTGCTCTTAGAAAGCCTCAATTAAAAGTAGTTATATGAAATGTTAATCAATACTTATAATCTTACGGATTAAACACTTATTCCCTATTTGATCACGTGTATGGCAAGAGAATATTCGTCATTCATAAAGAAAAGAAAGGTGAATCAAATTAGTTTTCAAGCCCTATCGCATACATTAGCAATACTTTATTCTCGTAATAACAGATACGTATGTGTTATTCTCTTCGTAATTTTCAGTACATATATTTATATTTATAATTAAGAAATGAAAGCAGCGTCAAACAGCTGTGAAAATTATATTTAAAATTATTATTTAGAAATGCGCTTATAATGGTTTTTTTTATATTTACGAAAGATACTTCCCGTTTTACTCAGGCTCACTGTATTCAAGTCGATAGGACCAATTGAATGGAAAGATCGATTAATTCATTCCCAAGTTTCAAATCGATGAATGGACTCGCGAGTAAAATGGCACATTAAAATACGGTCACTGAACTACAGTGAGCTATGAAATTTTTAACAAAGGCTTCGTACTTTATCTTATGAAAACAAAATATCAGAATCTAATTAAATGTTTCACTTGTTAGAAAAACAGAAAATACAAATATTTGTGATATAAAAAGGAAATTATCTTTAAAAAAATAAAATTTAAATGAAAAGAATTACAAAATATTGCAGAAATTACATAAAATAGCGAATAAACTTATTCAGCGCAAGCTCGCTAAATGTAAAACAGATTCTACAGTCAGAAAGCTCGCCTTGTCACACAAAATATACTATTCATCGGGTTTAAAGGTTATTCAACTACGTGCGAAAGTTCAGTGAGTAACATGTATTTTCCTTTGAATGTATAAACTAGCCAAAAAACACTTTAAAAAAAAATATATATCTCCCCTTATGATCCCTGACACAGCCGTTTACTTTCCCCTTCCGTAATTAACGTCAGTCTCCTGCTCTTGACCGCATTTGCCACGCCACCGAATTGATTGAATGAGAAATATATCTCTAATAAAATTCAAGGATATAAGTTTAAACGAATTGTAGCAAAACTTATGTATAATTTAATAGGCCGTACAAGGAAGTCATGTGGAAGTCACTTCAGATATTTTAATATATGCATTTTTAATGATCTTCATTGTAACAAATTCTTCGTCTTTCACATTAGTATTGCATTATTGTGCGCACGGGCTTTTTTAATATTGCACATATTCGCGCAAGTTTAAGAAGGATAAAAATATGCAATATACTTAAGTCGATAAAAGCAAGATAAGTAACTCTCACTTATTTGCATTATTTAAAACATTAATATTTAAATGCATACTAGGAACAAAAACAACAATGGTTTTACTTCAGAAAAATTTATTTAGGAACGTCTATGGGGAATCCAGAAAGAGTAATTTAGATTGTGAATTCTAGTCTTGAAGAAATGTTTTTTTCGCAATTCCGTTAATTTAGAATTTAACAATTTCTTCAGCAAGTGTCTTTCCGTATTTAGTTATTAAATCATAATGCTTAGAAAAATTCTGGGACTGAGCGTTCGATGAACTTGAATATAACAGAAATCTAATTTTACTCATCAGAATGCAACTTAAAATCTGCTTTACTAGAAGTATGAATCTCCCGTAAATATTTCTCATTACGTGCTGATAAATGAAATCATTTTTATTGCATCTTGTAACATATTCATTTTTGGAAGCGTTATTTTTTATGCTTTAGTGTTTGTGAATTCACCGCTCTCTAATGGATCAGTTCTTACTTTAAAAATGTATTCTCGAAAAGTGTTTGCTTGTCTTACTTATATTCAAATCATTTATAAAATTGTAAAATTACTGAGTTCATTGAGAACTTTCAAGGTATTTTAAACCTAGTTTATATCATGTTTCTGTCACTAATATCATGTTTCTGTCACTGAATAATTTAAGAAATTTGTTACGCTGCTTAAAAGCATTTGTGAAGGTTCTTCAAGTAATGAATTATTTTACAGCCATGAGTGGAGCTTGGCCAAGTGGGAGTGCTGATTCAGCGTCTAGTTCTTGGTCTTCTGGTGGTAGTGGTGTTGCTGCTGGTGGATGGGCGAGTGGACCACCAGGTGGATGGACTAGTGGAGGCTGGACGAGTAGTGGTCTATGGCCTAGTGCTGGAGCACCTCCACCAGGTCCTGTTTTACCTCCATGGGCAGGGGCTCACTTTGGATGGCCAGTTCCTCCACCTATTGGTAATAACTTTTATCTGTTCTGTTAAATCTTTTATCGTAAATATCTTAAGAACTGAAAGAATATTTTAATAAAGTTCAATATAATTAAAGATACGTATTTGTCTGCCTTTTATTAAGTACGTAAAAAGAACTATGTACTGCTGTAAGATTCCAGTCTTTGAGTTACAACTAAAAATGAGGAACCTTAAAAACTGGTAGGGGGAATCATCGCTTAGTTCAGTAGACAGAGAGCAGAACTCAAAAAGGGGGAAATACCCTTTATTATTCAAAATAAATTTAACAGTCGACTCCTTCTTGGAGTTTACAGCAAAGCCTCCACTTGGGCTTGAACTCAAGAATGCTAAGAAATAAAATTTAACTAAATTTAACTAAAAAAGATATAGCCGAAGCTATCAAAATTCTACTAGAGTTGGCCTCTTAACGCTAACTAACGGCGAAGCTATCAAGGGCCTAAAGTACAACCGAGCGTAATAATAGCTTATGAGAGAGCATAGCCAAAAGGCGAACCTCGCGCTGGTCAGAATCTCTGGCTCTTTACCGAAGTCAGTAGAACTTCAACTTTAAATACTTCACTTCCTTCATTTGCATTTAACCAAGCTTCTAAAAAACCGTTCTGGCCCGAAATTGTAAGCTGAAATTAAGAAGCGATAGGAAAGTGGCTTAAACTAAACATTAACTGTTAAAAACTTAGGATAAACCTTACACTGCAAAAGAAAAACAATTTGTATCTATTTTTATCTTATTAGAATAATTGGTCTTGAATTAACAAATACTTTTTACTGCGTAACTGTTATTTTACTATTAAATTGAATCTGGTTATTTTTAATAAAACTACACAGTTAGTTAATAGTCCTATAAAAGCTAATAAGCTATGCGATTTTTAAAATTTTTTCTGAAATCTGAGATTTCTAAAACACCTAATGAATTTGACTGTCAAATGCAAAAATTTTAAATGTTAATATGTTTCTGATCACTTAATCGCAACTGTTTTGATAAATTTTTGAAGTATTAGATTCTAACAATATATGACGAGATCTATAAATGCATTTTGTTAGGTTCTGATTTAGATAATAAAATTGTTTTTAAATTGTTTTTCATGGCAATGCGACAAAAATATCAGAATAAATTACTTAAATTTGCTAATTTATTCTCATGCTGTTAAGAGACTTTTTACTTTCAAAGTAAACTTTCTTTTAACACGTTAGCTGCTTAATGGGTACACGTTAGCTGCTTGTTCTTAATTTTACGCATATAAGCGTGTGTTGTAGTTACTTTGGATTTCTGAAAACTAATTACTTTCAAATCTCATAAACATAATATAAAAGCATTATGAATTCTTCTCTTATATTTCTTAATTCATCAAGCAAAGAATATTCGAATTTTAATAACTTCTTCTTCAAAGAGCGGCAAATAATGTTGTTTTCAAAGTGTCATTTTAGCCTGATAAACACATATCAGTGTCAATTCAATATCGCATTGTATTGGGTTCTTCAATTCCAGGACCTCACAGTGCTCATGGACATTTTCCTCCTCCCCCTCCTCCATACCCACCTCTTCCGCCACCGGAACTCTGCGGAAAATCAGGAGGAATTGGCACTTTCAAGAAAATTGGATATGGCATGAGACTACGGAACCATTTTATCATACGTGTGATACGAGCTGAAACATTACCGGACTGTGAGCGAGCTTGCATGGAAGCAAGGGATTTTGCTTGTCTGTCTTTTAATTTCAGGTAAAATATGCCATGTAATTAAATAATCAAGTATATACACTTCCAGCCTAGAAATCTCGTATTCTCATATGAAATAGTTATTTTCTTTAATTCTTAAAGATTTAAATGTATTTCAGATCTTAATGGAACAAAATTTTACGAAACCAGTAAATACAGCAAGAAAACGTGACACAATTAATCTAGAATGAAAATCAATAAGAGCATTTGTATATCTTGACATGATTTGAAAACAAATACCGATAGTAATTTTGGAAATAATTGACTGATAAATTTTCCAGGAGAAAATTCCTAGTTAATCATATTTCTTGTTTCCTTATTACAATTTTTTTATTCTTCACGTTAGTTACATATAGATAACCAACTGTAGAACGATTTTAATTACAAAATAATAAAGATTATATATGATTACTATGCGTTTTAGATGAATAAAATTGTTGATAGCATTTACATCTTCCTTGGTACAGATAAAACATTTTTTAAATATATTCAAAATACAGTGTAGAATAAAATTTCACACGTAATTGTAAATATTTATTGTAAATATGCATTATCAATCTGCAGATTTTGTATACTTTTGTGCTAATAGTATATGAAAATCCCTTTTATAATGTAAGTGAGTATTTCCTCCTAACTATCTATGTACACAAAAGATACTTTTCTACATGTGAAAAATTAAGCTAACATGATATTTTCTATTCTATGAATTTAAATAAAAGCTTTAAAAAATTTACGAAATTATGAAATAAAAAAGATAAAAATATAAAAGCATATAATTTTTGTGTCACTAGAATGACTGTACTGTAATCGTTGTTTATGAATATTACTTTTTAGATCATTCTTCCCTGACAATTGCGAGATGAGTGATCAGGATAGTCATTTAATACAAATCGGAAGCCCACTATACTTTGAATTGAACACACAATTCGATTTTTACGAAAGAGAACCCACTGGCGTATCACCTGGATGTTTAGATGGTAAGTTTCTATTTGTCTTGCATAATCATAGATATTTTTGTAGATTATTTAATTTATGATGTAATAGAATGGATTACATACCTAAAAACATCACATTCAACAAAACCTCATAATATTATGCTCACTGAGATCTAGATTTTTTTTAAGTTCCTTATAGAAACATGTATTATATTAATTATTTTGCATTATTTTATATAAACGCAAGTCTTTCTTTTGCATTGCAACGACGGCGTTAAGTATCCGTGAATTTCGACTATGGATTTCTATATATTCTATTAAAAGTTAAATTGTTCGGTACATCACGAAAACAACTAGCGAACGCTTCATGAAAGCATAGTATAATGCAAATATGTAACGAAAATTGGTGTGGTAAATTCTATTTAATATGCTTTTATGTAACCATGAATGTAAGGAAATGTTAAAGATAAAATTCGTGTTCTTAAAATTAATAAATTTATAGATTTCGCCACCTGTGAATATCTTCAATTATAAGTTTTTTCTCTAAAAATAATGCGGAATAACTTGGAAATAATTCTAAATTCATAACACTTTTGTACTGTACAGTGAGCCAATCCTGTACCTTGGATGGAATGGAATTCACGCTAAAGACTCCCGACGGATTTTACGGAAGAATTTATACCTATGGTTTTTACGATACCTGCTTTTATGATGGAAATGGTGGCAACGTCAACGTTCTACGTATTTCTCGAGCAAATGGGTTTCCTCGATGTGGTACTCAACAAGTAAGACCAATTCTTTGAAACTGCTCTTTTCCTTTTGAATTTTCCATAACCAACTTTATTTTCACAATATCACTATTTTACAAAGTCATTTTATTTAGCGAACATACAACTTTTAACAAATATCACATTTAAAATATGCTTGTATTACATTTTATTCATGAAAGTTTAAATAGAAAAATGTTTCTTAGAATTTTCCCTCCTCGAATATAATGTTCTCAGCTTTTGAGTAGCTTCCATACGCATGCATTTTATACAACTACTGCATATGTATTCAGAACAAATACGTACCATTTTATCATACGTGTGAGATCATACGTATTATATAATACGTATTTAGAACAAATACGTTGCATTAAATACTTATCTTTACTTTTGTCCTTTATTGTTCCTCAATAAAAGTTTGCTATTATTTAATATTCTATTAAGAAATAATGAAAGTTTCATATGATTCTCTAATTTTATAGCGCAAAGAAGTTGTAATGTACTACCTTAAATAAAGTACTTAAACTGCTAGAACCTAGCAAATCTATATAACGACTATTCGTTAAGTTCTTAAATAACAGTTCCGAAGAAAACCTTTTATTTGAACTCAAGATAGTCACAAACGGCCTCACTTGGGTGTACAGAAAGCTAACACTTTTGGCTTAAAATAGAAAATATAAAATTAAACTATGTATATTAAACAGCCTTCAGCTGCACAGAGTTGTTACCTCGTAGTTAGCTGTTATCTAAAAATCACCAACGTAAACAAACACGCACGTAATAAGCACGGCCGCTGTAGCTGTCTAACTGAAGTACCTCAGACCTCAGCTTAAATAGCAGTTCTCTCCTGTTTTGCATACAGCGGGAAACTAAAAACTCAGTATGTTAGGAAAGCGTAGGTAGGAAAATGATGAAGTAAAAGAAAGCTGTCTTAAAAATAAAAATATCTATAAGAAAAATTAAAGTAAAATCCTATAAAGTAAAACATATAATTTCACTTTCTGCTTTCGGTATTTTGATAATTTCTATGACACATTATAAGAAATTCAAATCATTCTTTTTCTGTTTTCTAATGATTCAATAGCTAAAACATCCATATAGCAAATGGGAACTCTGTGGTTAAAATATCGGCGAATACTTGCATCTACTAAGTACTTGTAGCCATTGCAATAAGTTTTAAAAATGCAAATGAAAAAATATAAGACAAATACACACCCCTTTATTTTCCGAAATATATAATTAAAAAAGGCTTTCTATTTATAATATGAATTTATAGTGTGAATAAACATAGCCGAAAGCAGTATATAAAAATATTTCAAAGAAAATGGTAGAAGACTGCAGTTACGAAAAACAACAATAATCTCCAGTAAAAAGGAATTAAAGTACAAAACAGCAAAATAATTAAAGCGTGCCTCATATTTCAATTAAAGAAAAGTTATTGCTCCAAAACACCAAGAATTTAAAAGTTGTAATTAATAACCACATCCTTGCTTTTGCTTTATTTCTATCATGAAACTATTTAGGGATTTCAACTTCAATCTGATTTAAATACTTTTTTATTCACAAATTATTTTTCACATTGTTAATTTAGTTACCTAATTTAAGAAAAATTCATCAAAAACTTTTTCTTCCTCACTTTTCAGTATGGCGATGTCATTACCAACATCGTAGTAGTGCAGTTCAATGACTACGTCCAGACCTCCCGGGACAAAAAGTATAACTTGACTTGTTACTTCTCTGGACCAGGAGAAGCTGTAGTCACTTCTAATTACCTGGATACCAGAACAGATGGGTGAGTTAAAAATCGCAGAATCAAAACAAATTTTTAATTTCATGGAAATGTCAATTCAAATTTAAAATTATTTTCAGGCGGTACCCAACGCAAATTGAACACCTGCCTGCCCAGAATGTACTCACATCAAGCGTCGTGTTGAAAATTTTGTACAGAGGCGCCCCCACAACAACTATTGCTGTCGGAGACCTTTTAACATTCCGTCTGGAAGCACGAGGCAATTGTAAGTAATGCATTGCGAAATAAAACTTAGATGTACTAAGTTTACCCTCAAATGCTTTCTAATTCTTTCAGTAGATTGTGATAAAAGTCGCGATAATTTGTTTATAATCATGTCTTCCCCCGCCCAGAAAAAAAAAAAAAGATAGTATTGATACTTGATTTCAATTTCAAGCAAATTATGAAGGCGCCGGTAAATGTTTTTTGCGTTTTAAAGAGTTAAACTAGAAAACCATTGGATTGAAGTACAATTTTCGCTTTATTATGCTGAATGATTTGGCCATTTAGTATGTAGCATTTCATGGAAGTGCACGTAAATAATGAAATATATTCCTTGTTGCCTAAAATAATATAAAATGCGTAACTTCGTCATTCCAAATTAAATATACCCATAAATAGATATGTTTTATCGGAGCAAATAAAAAAAGTAATTTAAAGAGGTGTTCACAAAATAAAATAATATTTGATATTAGATCCTTTCCTGTGGATTTTGATTACAAGCATTTCCTCATTTATACAGATACATAATTTTAGAATTAAAAATTTCGAGAAAAAAGTCAGAATGAAAATTTTGCATTTGTTTGCAACAAATATTATGTGTAACGTGTATACGAACCAGTTTCCCTTAGAAAGTCCTCCACGAAAGGCATCCCTCCCCTTAGGCAGATAGCCCTAGTGTGCTTTGCCATAATTAAATACACCACACCGCAACAAATATTAATAGTAGCAATAATTAATAAATGAATAAAAATAAAAAATCTGAAAGGATTCAGATTTTAACGGTCGCTCAGATGGTCTCTTTTGTTTCTAATTATCTTTTATATGTTGTTTATTTTGCTAAAATGATAATGGGTTGTTAGTATAAATAAATTATCAGTAGAGATAGAGCAGGTGTAACAGTGAAACATTTTGTAGCGAAACATATAACATCGCTCTATAAAATTTTTTATTGTTTTTATTTAGATATATCAGGAATTAAAGCATTTTTTTTAAATCAATCAAACTGAAAAATTTTAAAAATAATATTCTTAAGAACTGCATCTACCGATTTTAAGTAGCTTGGTTTGTTAATCAATAACACACAGGTTAAGTATGAAAGATATAATATAATCTTACATTTTACCGAATGGAAACGGACTCGAAAGAAAATTCAAACAACCTCTTTACAGATGACATTTAAAGAGAATCAACACAAAATCTTTAAAAAAATTAAAAATAATAGCTCTTTCGGGTTAATAAATAAATAAAGAAGAAGAAATACGAATCACTAGTAATTTAATGAAATAATCACTATTCTGTAGCAATAAAAAAATTAATAATATTTTTCATCGGCCCCTACGGATAAACTACGACTTATCTTTTAGTAGCTTTTTAATTGCTTCTTTTTTGGAATATGGTAAAAGTGGGGTAAATGCTTATCTCAAAGTATCTCCAGACGGATGATTATTTCAACTAGGCATGTATTTTACTTAATACCCCGCATAGCTTGGTGATATACATTCTATGTCAGAAACGTTCCAGGACATTTTTTTTTATTTCTGAATTTGTAGTATTAAAAAGGAACAAACGCTGTTTTTATGTTACCTGGTATGTATTCTTATTTGATATGACTTTGGCCATGTTTCCGTATTGGGGGCAGAACTGGCACACTGCTAGCAACACACTATTCGGATTGTTGTCGCATTCGTTAAGGGGACACAATGGATGCTGATTGTGAGCAAACAATGAACATTAAGCCCTGCGTTAAGCTCGGAAAAACCGCTAGTGAAACGTAGAACATGGTTAAACAAGCACATGCAAGCAAGGCACTTTCAAGAAGTCATGTTTCCAGTGGTACAAAAGGTTTCGTGAAGGAAAGACGATCTCAGAGCTAGTCACCCGTCTATAGCACATACCGATGCAAACGTAGAGCGTGTGAAGACCGTCGTTAGGCTATGTGCATACGATATCAGAAGAACTAAATTTGAATCATGATGAGTGTCATAAGATTTTACGCGAAGATTTAGGGAAACAGATGCTTAATGGACGAACTGTCCCTTACTCATTAGCAGATGAACAGAAAGGGGAAAAACGAATTTCTGCTTAACTATTGGATAGAGCTAGACGTGATCCCACATTTGTGTCAAAGATTATTGTGATTTTTTCTTGTTTCCGTGAATGAAAAGGTGACTGAAAGGAAAGCTGCATCAAGCTTATTGAAGACATCCAACAGGCTGTGGCAAATGAGCTTGCAAGCAATGCAGTTGAAGATTTCCCTGCTTGCTTCCAAGACCTCCAGAAACGTTGGCAGTTGTCTGTAGATAGTTAAGGCACTATTTTGATAGCAGCTGGGATCTTTACTGGGTAAATTTTTTTATATTTTACGAGCTTTGTCCTGGAACGTTTTTGACAAAGGATGTAATTTATGCATCCGAAATATTGGCTTTTAAACACATTTCTACCATAAATACAACAAATTTTTTTTCTCTATTTTGGGACATATTTGCACTTGAAAACTCCCAACAACTATAGTTGGGGGCTTAATCAGGTGTGATACTGGATGGGAACAATTCTTTTCTTTACATAACTAGCAATTAATCACGTATTTAGTTACAGTATCCTTTTTCTGGCATTCCACGCCAACATAACGGTATTTTAAGTACAAATCCTCTTGTGAAAACTATTCCATCAGTTATTTCCTTGTTATGGTTATCAATACTAACAAAAACTTACAATAACTAAGTTGAACTATGTATTTGGAAAAAAAAAGTGAAAGAAACACACACTGGCAATACACTGGACGGAATAAAATACTTTTATGTTCAGCGTGCGAGACTGTATATAAAACATTCTAAAGATATGCTGTTTTTAAATACCTTTGTCCCAAATGCTCTCGAAACCTGTATGTATATGTAATTGAAAAAAACAGCCCTTTGGGTGTAATATAAAATCTGAAAGTTTTCAGATTTTTTTCACTCATTAATTTATTTTACTCGGAAGTGTTCAACATGATCTCCGCGAGTCCGTGGCAACCTAAGACGCACCCTGTACTATGTAAAATTTTGATATGCTATATTGTTCAATTTTTTTAATTATCTTAAAATTTAATTCATTAGGACTAACAATCAAAAGATTATATACTAATTTTATCAACAGACTTACTTTAATAACTTTTAAGAGGATGCATATCTAGTTTTATTTAAATCAATTATTTTATTAATATATGTATATGTATAAACATTTAGCTACAATGGGTATTTGGCTTCTTCTTTTTTAGTTCACTGGGAGTATTTTGCCGATATATTTGCTACTAATGTCATTGCCAAAGATCCCTATTCCGGACGTCAAGTGCATTTAATTGATGCAAGAGGGTAAAGTTTTTCAAATTATTCTCTTCTGTCATATTAATTGAAAATATGCTAATATTAAAGAAATGATAATTGTTATAATAGATAAATATTGCTGTGGTATATAGCATCTATACATTGCAAGAACGAAGTCTTTATTTTCCCTTACCAGCTGCTTGTGTTTAAGTTTAATTTTAGTATTATAAAATACAGAAAAGGTCTTTCGTAAACAATCCTGCAAAACTTAGACCTCGTAAATACAAAAGAGAATCATAGAAACATTGCTTTATTTTCCTTTGTCTGCAGACAAATTAATGAAATGAAAATCTGGATAAATTTGATACCATGAAGGTTATTCAAATTAGTTAGTCTGTCAGGACTTGTGTTCCTCTTTACTTGCTTTGGGAACATGAACTGTCCTGACTCGGAACAGGGAGCTTACTCAAGCTGTGTTCAATAAATTGTGAAGTAGACAATACACCCAGGAAGGGTATACAAAACCCTTTATTTTTCTATCTTTACAGCGATTTCCGGAACTTCGGAATACAGAGACCAACCACTTGTGGTCTGAACGTAAGAATCTAAAAATACTAACTAAAACCCTAACTAAAACTAACTTTGGATTAATATACAAGCGCCTAACTTCAAGATTGGCCGTTATTTAACAAAATCCGTATGTAGTACAGAGAGCTGCTAAAACTACGATACGTTTAAAATTATCAAGAGGATTAAACCTCTGGCCTTGAAGGCAACCAGCAACCGAGTAAAACTACTATGGCAAGCGGCCTGCTTCTAATAACTCCTTCCGCTCTCTTGCTTGGCAAAAAGCTACAACTTAAGTACTTGGCGTTAGCAAGACAAATTTGCATAAATAAGTTAAAGCTTTTAATTCTGGAAGTAGAAAATAAGAAGTGATAGTAAAGATTTAAAATAAAATAAACGTTAGTAAAACTTAGGATCCTTACATACTTCCCGCCAGAGTTAATTAGTTTGAAACTGAGGTCTAAAACGACCTTGTTGAAAACTTTTAGCTCTAGAATCTAACGCGAGGCCAATCTTTTACAAACATTTCTCACTAGAAACTAGAAATTAAAAAGTCGTTTTTACATTATCAACTCCATGGACAATTACTTTTCATCTGTACTGCATCTATAAACAGGAGTTTCTTAGTTGAAATCTGGTTCCTTCCAGAGATCTGGAAAGGAAAACTAGTTTAATGAAATGTTACACAATCAAATGGCAAGTAACATGAATATTTATATTTTTCTTTTAAAAATTCTTATTTCATTCATGACGTTATTTAATTATCTCCCCGTGCTCTCTGACATGTGTTGTAAAGAAAAACACCAAACACGAGCGTGTCTATGTACAAGTGTTCAACACTACCGCCTGCAATCAAAACACTAACGTGTTAAAATTCAACATAACAAGACCTCGGAACACACCTTATATTCATCTCTAAACCCTGAGGTACTATTCTGAAAAGTGGCTAACTCTGAAGTGTAGCGTCAGAGAGCCTAACTACATTCATTCAACCTTTAACGCATATTCACAATACTTTTCTCTTTTTTTTTTTTTTTTTTTTTCAGTCACATGAATAAGTTTAAAATTTTTGGCATTACTTTCACTTTTAACATATCACAGCATTTCTTAACTTTTAAGATAACAGTTCACATTGTATATAAGGACATATTAACATGCCGTTAATTTTACGCATTTTAAAACATACATTAGTAGTACATTGTTAACTTCTATTCTTTTCCAAGCAAGTGCCAATTCTTCTACATTGAAATACTACATTTCAAAAGTCCTTCAGACTAAAACTTCTTTCTTGCCAGAATCTTTTAAATAAAATTTTATACAATAATTTTTACAATTTTCTTAAGGTACCTTTCTCAAAGATTATCAATGCTTTTACAATATTCAAGTATTTACAAATTCCTATTATACATTAATTTTAGTTTTACTCGCGAGTAATTGAAAAACAATACCAAAATAGGTACAACTCATTTCTCGCCTTTTTGGCGATAAAGGTAGGCCTCACATGAGGTAAAACTTCTTGAATTATGCCACTTGTAGTAAGAATGAAAAATTAACTTAAGGTTTCAAAGTAACATAAAGTTTTACTTATCTTTGTTATATTCAGACATCCTTTTTTCTGCTCAGTCCTGGAAAGTAGCGAAGACTACCGTTTGGTTTATCTTCCTTCTTGTGCGGATTCGCCCTTCGGTTCTTTCCTCCATAAGCTTTCTTTTCCTTCCAGTTCGGTCACCCTTGAAGACCTTCTTTTTAGCCTCTGCCTGTGGTCTCGGCCGTTTGATAGCAGCTGGTCTTGGCGGAACCGGGACAACTCTCTCTCGTTCCTGCTTGGATCTCGTTGCTGGCTGTTCAAATTTTTCTTGGTTTTTTGCATCTGCAGCTGGTCTTCCTTCATCAATTCGTCGACATTTGCTGCGTAGACTCCTATCCGATGGGTAGATCTTCCGTTTTGGAGCCGGGTTATAGTTGCTGTCATTTCTCCTGGCTCTCTTTGCATTAGTCGTACTTCTCCCTTCTTCATTCTGGGGGTGGTCGTGCCCTCTCTTTTCTGGTCGGTGGAACGGCTTCTTTTTCTTGTTACCTTCAGTTTTCCAACGGGGAACTTTCTTTTCAATTGCTCCTGTCTACTAATGGCTTGCCCTTGTGATTGTCGTTGTTCCACCTCTGGAGCTTGTGTGCCTGCCGTGCCGGATCCTGCAAAAGATCTTGAAATATTGGCATTTTATTACGATTATAAAATGGTTTTATCTGGTCAACGTTTGCGGTGCAGTTTCACCATTCCTGGCTTTTAACACCACTACAGCCTGAGTTACTTTTTTCTATGACATATGGTCCTTCAAATCGTGGATAAAAATTTGGCAGTTTTATCTTCTGGTGCTGAAGAAAGTGAATGCTTAATTTTTAACACTTCATCCCCTACTTTATAAGTTACTCCCCGTCGTTTCATATCATAATAAGCTTCTGTTTTCTCTGTTTCTTGTGCTACTTCAGTGTTCTTTTTTGCTTCTTTAATTAATTTTTCTATATCGCCCATTTTAAATTCTGGGGCTCTTTGTTGAACATAAAATAATTTATCTAACGGCGTTATAATCTTTCTGCCTAAAAATAACTCAGCAGGAGTTTTGCCCGTCGTATCATGTTTTGCGGTCCTAAGGGCGAAAGCTAATTCATTGACATAGTTATCCCAGCTTTTATGAAAATTTTTAACATAACTACGGATAATTTTTCACTATATTTCTATTGACCCGTTCCGCTATATTTGATTGCGGCCGATACGGGACCATTTTTAAATGACGTATGCCCAGTTTTTGGCACATGTCTTCAAATATATTACTTACAAATTGAGGACCATTATCCGATATAACTTTTAGGGGCGCCCCGTATTTTAAAATATATTTATTTAAAATAGAATCAGTAACTAATTTCGCGGAGGCTCGTTTTAAGGGAACAATTTCGGTCCACTTACTAAAATGATCAACCATAACAAGGAGATACCGACTTTTATTTAACTGACTTTTTGGGAAAGGGCCCAATAAATCGATGCCAATTATTTCATTTGTAAATTCCGGATTTAATGCTATTTAGAAACCCGGCCGGGCGGAAATTAATATAATTAACTGCTTGACATGTTGGGCAGGACTGGACATACGCCCTTGTTAACTTTTGCAGTTCAGGAAAATAGAACTGCTTCGCGTACGCGTTGGATAGGTTTTTCGAATACCAGCATGAGAAGCTAAAGGGCTGTCGTGTAACTCCTGCAGGATATTTAATCTAAGACTAGCTGGGATAACAGGTCGAAATTCGTTGTTGGAATTCGTAGTTTTTTGTATAAAATAATAGACCATCTATTAGTTCGTAATGGGCCGCCCTATTTCTTATCGCCACAATATCTTGGTGGCTAAAATTTTCAGGATCCTTTAAATAATCATAAATATTTTTAAATTCAGGATCCTTACCCAGTTCGGTTATTACAGTTTCTCGGGAATGTATCGTACATGCTGTGAGCATTGCCACCTTTACAGTATTACCTTCTTCATCTATTTTTATTCTGGATAGGGCATCTGCTACGATATTTTTCCTTTCCGGGGGTGTGCTTAATTACCAGATTATACTCTTGTAACTTGAGTGCCCATCTTATTAACCTTGGGGATAAGTTTTTCCCTGAGTACAATCTAGTTACCGCCGCATGATCAGAAATACACTGTTATTGGCGCCCTTCCAAAATAGACTCGGAACTTTTGCACTGCTAACAGAACTGCAAGTGCCTCTCTCTCAGTCGCGGAATAATTTCTTTGTGTTTGATTTAAGTTCTACTAAAAAATGCCACGGGCTGCTGATTTTGCGAAAGTACCGCTCCTACCGCATAATCCGAAGCATCCGCTGAAATTTCTAAATTCTCATCGTTTTCAGGAAATTTCAAAACAGGGGCTTGCGTTAAATGCTTGCTTTTTTAATTTTTCGGCAAAGGTTCAGCAATAGCTTGCAAAATAAGGACCTATAATATGAACAAAGTCCTAGAAAAGAAGAGAGCTTCTTCGCCGTATTTGGCGGCGGATACTTTTGCACAGCGATTATTTTTGATTCGTCCGTCTCGATTCCTTTCTGAGATATTTTGTAACCTAAGTATTTTAATTCAGGGGCTGCAAATTTGCACTTTTCGACATTAACTTTTAGACCGGCCTCATTTAATAATGAAAACACCTGTCTTAAATCCTGTACATGTTGGTCCAGATTATCACTAGTAATAATGATATCGTCTAAATAGATAAATGTGGTCTTTCCAAGAACAGGCCTTAGCACAATGTCCATACATCGCTGAAATGTTGCCGGTGCCCCTGAAAGGCCAAACGGCATACGCAAGGAATGCATAAGTGCCAGACTTGGTTATAAAAGCAGTCTTAGGCACACATCTTCCGGTTTAACCCCTATTTGAAAATAACCAGTCGTTAAGTCTAACGTAGTCATATATTTGGTAGAAGTTATGTTCCTTAGAATTTCTTCAATAATAGGTAACGGATATACCGGATATTTAGTCATGGAGTTTAATTTACGATAGTCAATTGCAAAACGCCACCTTTTCGGATGTGTTACCGGATAGTCATTATTTTTCTCTTACATAACACCAACCGGGCTAGCATAACTACTTGAGATGGGCGTTATGATCTTTTTACGTAACATATATCTCGAATGTGCCACTCTATAATTTTTTCTTTATTCTTATCATACCGGTATGGTTTGTGGCGAACTGGCAGTGAATCTCCGGTGTCGATACTATGGTTAGTAACTTGAGTAAATCCGGGAATATCACTAAATAACGAAGCAAATTCACTAACCACTTGTCGAATTTTTTTTGTTGCTCTTCCTTAGGCAGGTGGTCGAAGGTTTAACGTTGGTGGTTCTCTTTTTTCTTCTCGAACTGGTTTCATCGTCAGCTTAAGGGACGCTTCGTTAAAATCCAGCGTTGCTTCTGCCTCTGAAAGAAAATCTATTCCTAAAATGACATGTGCTTGCAAATTTTTTACGATAAAAAAACATGATCTTTACTTGCTCGTCCTTGATACGAACGATATATAATGGTATTTTACCTATGCACTTTGCATCTTTCTCCCTGCGCAGCTAACACTGTCGTATTATCCGAATTATATATGCGGTATTTACGGAAATACTTCCTAAAAAAATCTTCTGCCACACAGGAACACTGCGCGCCTGTATCCAGGAGTGCGGTGGCTGGGATGTTATTCACCAAAACTTCAATCTTTGGAAGAGTCAAATTTTTCACCATAACTGTATTTAACTTGAAGGAAGAGGGGTTTTCTTTCTTGGCCTTCGGATTTCCGCACCCTCCCGTCAGCAGAAATCCGTTTTAGTTTAAATTTTTTTCTTCCTTTCCATGCCTTCCTTCTTTTTCCGCTGGCCTTCAGACTTTTTTTCTGGCTTACTATTGAACTGTCGACGTTCGCCGGTTTGTTTTTGGATACTCGGGTTTCCTTGCCCACTGATTCGCTTTGCTTCCGTAGCCGTGTTCTTGACTTTGCTGTGGTCTTGGCGCACCAAATTGGCTTCGTTGCTCATACTGGCGTCTTCTTTCAATGTCCGCCGTTCTTCTACTTTCAAACTGGATTGCTAGCTCAAATAACTTTTCCAGTGTAGTCGGATTCCTTAATTCAATAAAGTCTTGTACTTGGGGAAGTAACCTCGGCAAAATCACTTGGAATTATCTCAGGATCCGGACGGTTTCCATACAAGAGTTTAAAGACGTGAATTTTTCTTAAAATAAAGCTTGGAAAGATTTTCGATTCGTTGCTGGTATATGCTGAAGAGTTCCGCTTTCTAATCTTGCACGATCTCTTACGACAGGGAAGGCTTTTACTAAGGCAGTCTTGAAATTTTCGTAAGTATAGGTGGGACTTCCCGCTTGACCCAAGAGGCTTCTGCCTATACATTTGAACCAATTAAGCGCTTGGCCCCTCAAAGCGCTGGTAGCTAAGGTGACTTTCTGGAACTCATGGACTGGATACAGCATGAAGTGGTCATCCAATTTTTCCAAAAAACTGGTTACCGGTGAGTTTCCATTAATGTTGCTTCTGGTTTCATCGATGCGCGCATGGTCTGGACGATGTAACCAAATCCTTCCAGGGCGGCAGCTGGCATTTCTGGATTCTGAGCCGCTTCTGCAGGCACCACAGGTTCTTCTTGAAACTCGGCCATGGTTATTCTTCTTCGGGCGCCACTATCAGGACTTGTGTTCCTCTTTACTTGCTTTGGAAACATGAACTGTCCTGACTCGGAACAGGGAGCTTACTCAAAGCTATGTTCAATAAATTGTGGAAGTAGACAATACACCAGGAAGGGTATACAAAACCCTTTATTTTTCTATCTTTACAATGATTTCCGGAACTTCGGAATACAGAGACCAACCACTTGTGGTCTGAACGTAAGAATATAAAAATACTAACTAAACCTAACTAAAACTAACTTTGGATTAATAACAAGTGCCTACTTGAAGATTGGCCGTTATTTAACAAAATCCGTATGTAGTACAGAGAGCTGCTTAAACTACGATACGTTTAAAAAATTATCAAGAGGATTAAACCTCTGGCCTTGAAGGCAACCAGCAACCGAGTAAAACTACTATGGTAAACGGCCTGCTTCTAATAACTCCTTCCTCTCTCTTGCTTGGCAAAAAGCCACAACTTAAGTACTTGGCGTTAGCAAGACAAATTTGTATAAATAAGTTAAAGCTTTTAATTCTGGCCGGAAGTAGAAAATAAGAAGTGATAGTAAAGATTTAAAATAAAATAAACGTTAGTAAAACTTAGGATCCTTACAAGTCTAGCTGCATTAGCAACATTTAACGAAGCTATTTAGTCTAATCCTAAATGAGATATTTTAATACTTATTTAAACATCAGGCTTTAATCTAACTGAATACAGAAACTTTATTCTTTCAGATGTCCAGTCGACTTATATGTTTTCCCAGAGCTGCACCGAACACCAGATGGAGCTCTAGAAGCAGAATTCTATGCTTTCAAGATACCTGATTCAAATTTACTTGTTTTCCAAGCAACTGTGCAAACTTGCCGGGGTCCCTGCGAACCTGTAAGTGATATTTATACCTAGATAATGAAAAATACTGAAACAAGAGAGTTTGAGCAGTCTTTAACGTAAATAAACATCACATAATAAAATGATATGTACTACACTGAATAATTAGGAGAAAGGAATTCTTCGCTGAATAATATTTAAATAATGATTAATAAATTAAGGAGAAATACCATGATTTCGTTTGCAGTGAATGAAAGAACAAATATCTGAGCAAATGTAATTGAATATATATTTGACATATAAAGAACATAATGATCATGCTAAACTGTGTTTCCTTAGTATCTATGTATACATATTCAAAATAACTTTAAAAATGCTATTTGGCTTAATACAAAATGAAATAAAACAACATTTATTAAATACTGTTTTTCAATATTTACTACTATTGATTTAATGGAGACTTATTTTTCTTAAATAAATTAATTCACTAAACTAAGCATTTACGAGAACAAAAAAGAGTAGCTTTAATATAAATCTGAATTTCATGGGCTTGAAGGCGAGATACGTGCTTTTTTGTTCTACAGTTAATAGAAAAAATCTCATTTAATTCTAATTTTTCAAATCTGTAACAGCAATGGCACTTACAGTCAATTTTAAGAGAGAATTTTAATATACTAGGTCGCTTATATCCGTATTTCTTCTTTTGAGAGAAAATCTTATTTTGGGAGTTGAGTTCTATTCGGAATTTTTTAATGCTTTTAAAATAATTAGTTTCTAATTAAATAAAAATAAAACAGACAACTTCATCCTTATGCTTCTTTTACTTGCAATAATTACGGCTACGCTGTAATATCGACATACGATCATACATGCGTACAGATATATACGATCATACATGCGTACAAATATATAAATAGCATTAAATTATCGACTTTCTAATATACTGCAATTACATTTGACATTGCAATGTCAGAAATAAAAATAAATAGCTGCAGGCTTAAAGCAAAGCAATTATTTTAAGAAACTTCAAAAAAATTATTTCGAATATAAACCAGTTGTATAAACCTCTAACTAAAAATAATCTGCATAAAACTCTTACTTAAACGCGTGGTTTATTTCATATATTCTAAATCAATAAATTAAAAAAGTGTTTATTTGGTGTCTGTTTATATTTCTGAATTAACGCCCTATTCATTGAAGAACACTGTGAAGAAATTTTATTTGATTTGTTATCCGAAACAGAATTCTATAGACCACAAACATAGAACGTAGAATAACTAAAACATTCACTACAAAAATAAGAACCGATAAATCGATTATGCAACAATCGTCTGATAAAATGTTTTATAAAATAGAAAACAAAGTTATTCAAAGTTATTTCAAATTTATTTAGCTTTACTTTTGAAATCGTAAATGCAAATGGTAGATAATATATGAAATGAAAGGAAGAACTATCTAAGATATATATTTTACAGTCTATCTCAATATCTTTAGTTATACAGACAACATAAGGCAAAAATCTAATTCACGAAAATCTATATTTATTCTACCTCAGCCTTTGCTACTGTTTAACATAAGATTCAAATCGAATTCATACTCCAGCTACTGTTTCCACGGAAAAGAAAATTTCAGAAGTTTGCGAGCAAGAGTCATACAAACTATATTTAATATACTTGAAAGGAAAACTGGTATACTATACGTTCAAGCTATCGGTGAAATACCAACTGATCGGCTATATTGCAACTAATTCAACGGCAACAAATCTTTGATAAAGCATTTCAGTTGATTATTTCGCCGACATCCTAAAATCAGAAGCTTTTCTTCGTGATTTGATATATATCAAATTCATTCCATTATTGATAGACCAGTAATAATGATCATCTGAAACCGATTAAATCGTTTTGAATAAAACTGCATCATAGGACAGACAGAACAGCCTCATATTACATGAAACAAAATGATTCATTTTCTAAAATGCATATTTAGATTCAGAATGGCTCATGGTTTACACGAGTGTAGAATACAAATAGCTCTGGTTGCTCTTTATTTGGTAAAGTGTTTCTAATGTAATTTTCTTTTATTCCAAGGTGATTTGTAGTGATAAAGCAAGACCTGGTACTTTCCCATCGTGGGGGCGTAAAAAGAGATCAGCATCTCCTGCACAAACGGTGGATCAACCTCAAACGAATGACACAGAAATACTTGAAGAAGAACAAGAAGAAGTCCATGAATTGCTGAAAGTTTATCTTTCACGTTCTGATATTCCACCAGAAGAAATTACACCAGGTTTGTTTCTTACTCTTTTTTTGCTTCCTTATACAAGGTAAAGGAAGTATTGTAATCACGAAAAATTCCGGGTGTCACATTTCAACGAAAATATCCATTTTGACCGCTATAGAATGCAATTTAACAATGTTCGTAGCATCTGTACGTAGGGACAGAATAAAGCACTCTTTTCCTCCAAACTGTTTATAAAATTGATTTAAAAGGCATTCAAAAGAGAATTTTTCTTGACGTCTGTACGTATGCACGTACGTATGTATGTATCTCGCATAGCTCACAAACGAGTATCGTCAGAACGTTGAAATTTTGTATATAGGACTGCTATAACATGTACTTGTGCATATCCCTTTTTGATTGCAATCGGCCACATCAAATAATATATATATATATATATAAACACACCCACTCTGTTACTCGCCTCGGTGATCTGAGGTTTTTAATTTTTTTTTTGGCTTTAAAAATAATTGAATTATGTTTTTCTTATCTTCCGGCTAAAGTTTTTATGCCTTTAGTTAATCTGCATGCAATAGTTGTAGAATTATAAACAATTTAAAAGTTGTTTAAGTACTGCTAAGCATACTTTTGTTACCATAGCAACCATATTTGTTTAACTTTGAAACTTTGCAGAATATTGAATTCAGTTTCTGCACCTTCAGTATCTTTTTGCCGAATGAGACCAAAAGTAAATTTCAATTTCCTGCACCGAAAAATCTGCCTTTTCGCCTGCTGGCCGAATTGCTTATGTTTGCTTAAAAACTTTAATTTTAATTGTAAAGATTGTTTTTTTAATTGTTTTAACTGCATTTGGTGCTTTTTGTTTTTCTATATTTTTCAATTTTTAATGAAGCTATTTTGAGATTTTATGTATTTTGGCTTGCAGCGAAGTGAGAGCTAAATTGAATGAGAAATCTAGCTCTAACGAAGTTCGAGGAAATAAAGTTTAAATGGAAATGCAGCAAAAAATGCGCATAATTTTATATTCCGTACAAGGAAGTCATGTGGTGTCTGCATCATATTTTTTAATCAAAATTGCGCATCAAAGACAATAAATTAACACCGTGTCCCTCAGGATAAGTATTTACAATAATGAAAGAAAAATAATAAATTATAGCTTCATAATAAGTTCTTACGATGAAATTTTGAATATGTATTTGAAGAGAGAATTATGTGCACAATAAAACCAAATGCAATTCTCTTAGAGAGATTTTTTCTTGTAAAAATTCAGATACTAGTAGTTAAAATATTTAAAAATTGTACGAATGCTAAAAGAAACGAAACACGATAACTTTAAGTGAAAAAGTTATGACATTGGTCCTTTAAAGCAGACTTAGCCATTGCGTTCTCTAAACCCATTTTAACTCATATTTATTGAAGAAAAAAGAAGTTGCACATGAAATTTTCTAGAGTAACCCATAAAGTTCCCAACTTGACCTATATTTATTTCTGGCTCCAAAACTCTGCTGCCTAAAATTTTGTAACAGATTTTATCGAAATTAACAAGGCAAATTGAGGTTTCAACTACATCGAGCTGATATCAAAATGGCAGCGAAACTTGATGAAGCGATGGATAGACATTCTGAAATATAGTAGAAACATAGTAATTATAGAAAATGTCTTAAATTATTTCATTGATCTGTGGTTGCTAAGTAGTGGACTACCACAGAATGATAACTTTGGCTGAAAGTACAAGGCAACTGTCATTCCTGTAAAGTCATTAGGATATTATGCTTATTTTATACTTTCAGGCCCCAAGCACATGCATAGCTTTCTTGCCTAGTCATATTCGCTCTTCAAGGTTTTGCTCAGAAAATACCTTCCTATTCTAGCAGAATTTTATTATTATTATTTACGTGTTCTGCCGTAAGGCACAATACGGAAGGGAGGATACTTTCGTAGAGGACTTTCTAAGGGAAACTGACTTGTACACATGGGAAAAACCACGAAAACGCCTATGCAACGAGCCCGTTTGCGGGAGTAGAACCTCGGACCAAACTACCAGTGTTCAGGAACTTTACCACTCGGACGTTGGTGGGCCCTAGCAAAATATCGGACCAACGTTTCGATTAATAGCAACCCGGATATGGTTGAATTACATTATTCTAAATCTGAGCCTAAAGCTCTCACGTTTGCTAGTTGTTAATCAAATAAAGCAGGATTAGGATACAACTAAATAATTTTTTAGTTGTCAATCGCTCACCGGTAAAAGGACATTCAGAAAAAGTAAGTTAGAATGTCTCCAAAATGCTACTAGAACTTCATGTAATCGTGCCCAGTTACATACCCTCAATTGTTTGGATTAAAGAAATCGCCATATTTTATTCAGTAGAAATTTTTAATATACAGTTCTTCAATATCTATGTGTATATCTTGTATATAAAAAGATAGAGTTAAACAAACAAGTGGATTTTTAATGAATTGTTGATTTTCTTCAGAACGGAACTTAATAAATTCAAAGATGGAATATTTTCACTTTAAAGCTGTTTTCATCTACGTTCCATAAACATCAGTTTGAATTGCTCAGAGAACCGTTAAATGAAAATTAAACTTAGTAAAGCTTTGCGACTTATTCTTACAGAAGTGATTTTGAGCAACAAAATCAATTGAAATAAATTATACATAATATAGCAATGTCATATAGGTATGTCACTGTCTAAATGTTTAACGCATGTCAAATCAAACACCACATTCTTATAAAGTTTTTTTTAATCATAATATTTATAATTATGATCTAAAATATTCAGAATTATAAATCTGTCTCTATAAAGAATGTAGAGGAACATGTGATAAATCGGAATAAATAAAAAAAAATTCTGTTCTGTATATATGTCATGTGTAAAGAATGAAGAGGATATATGATTAATCGACATAAGTCTGGTTTTTTGTTTTACTGATAAATCTTTCCAATATTATAACTATATGGTTGCTAATAAATCACATTCCTTTCTTACAGTAGGTGAAAAAACTTCCACGGTGTGTGTTGCTCAGGCTGGTTACTATGGCATGATTTGTACAGTTGTTATTTTGTTATGCTTAGTTGTTGCAGTGGTTGCCATGTCTTATTACTTCATAAGAAGAGCGCGAATAATGGTAAGAAATAAGGCGTTATACTTTTGTTAGTTTTGTAGACATATAAAGATTTTATATATTTTAGACATACAAAGATTTTATTAGATACAAAGATTATTATTCTAATAATTTTAATATACTATATCCAAATTTAGAAAATTCATTAAAAATTATTTAACATATCATGATTCAAGTTATTTCGATTGATGTCATGATCAAGTCATTTCATGATTATTTTTAATTATAATCATATAACACACATATTTTATAGTACGTAACCTTTAACATGGAAAAAACTTTTTATTGGTCATTTAGGTGAAGAAGATGGCAACTTCTGGGATATCTGCATCAGGTCCTGAGAATCCGTACGTGTCTCAGTTCCAAGTGAGAAACTTCGCAGATCCAAGTGAACCTATTTATACAGATCCTTCGTTGTTTGAAAGACCTCGAAACACTCTTCAAAATATGACTGCTCGTACATTAGGCAAATTAAACAATGATGTAGACTAATATTAATAGATCAGCAAGACTGTGATATTATGGTGAAAATGTTGATATATGAAGTACTGTCTCTTGAAGCAGCAACAATCACTATTGCGAGAGAATAGATAAACATTATTTGAAAGTTGGATCTATTGAGCATGTGCTGTTATTTTACCATTTTTGTGCTTCATTCTATTTCGTATTGCACCCCCAACTTTGGTATAGTGTACAAAAAGTACAATTTTCGGTTTTTTTTCCGAATTTCTTAAAAGTCATTCCAATTTTTACGATTCCTGCAATTTGATAACCCTTGGCTAATCAGTACTTTCACCTATTAAAAATTTATTTCATAGATCGCTATATTAAATATTTCAACTTGAATATGATTAACTAAAAAAGTACTATCTTTTCTTGGCATTACAGGCCTAAATCAAAGGCTGAATGCTGTCAATATTTGAAAAATAAATTATAATTCCTATGTCTCCAAAGAATTTAAATCATTGCAATCACTAAAATCTTAAAACCTTATAACCAAAGACATATGCTTTTATTTAAACATTTTTTAGCTTCGTTTTCGCTAAGTATTTTTATTAAATTCGTTCGAAGCGCCAAAGTGTTATGACTTAGATAGAATTATCAGATTTCCACTCAGGAAATCATTCATTTTTTTATTCGATCTTTGTTGATAATCAGTTGTAATTCAGAAACATACTAAATGTTTCTGTGGATATTTTAAACTAGAACCAAATTGAGCAGCACCATAAAATACATATTGAAATTTATCTGCAGACATTTATATCTTTTATTAACGTATAAAGAGAAATTAAATTATATTTATTTAAAAAGAATTCCATTTAGGCATAATTTTGAAATATATGAAAAATTAGTATTTTTATTTCTGTATTATTGATTTTTATTTTATATTATTCATATATTTTCGTAAGAACTTTCAAATCTTCCACCAAATTTTCATTTTCTAGGATAGATTTAAGACTTTTGCAATAACTATTTCATTCTTTTAACTATTTTAAGTATTAAGGTTAACTATTTCAGTCTTTTATTGAAATTTCTACCCGAAATATTAAATTTACTAAATATTCGTGATAAAACTATTCATATTTTTCAAGATGTGTTTTTCTCTTCCAATTTTACCCTTTACTACTATACCAAAGTTTCACCTTTACTACTATACCAAAGTTTATGGCAAAATTTTCATTAATGTTAAAAAAAATTATAGAAGCTACTCTAATTCCTGTCATATGTGCTTTGAATTTTCATCCAATCTCATTATAATACTAGTTAACAGTTTAGTGCATTAAATCTAATATTAAAAGTGTCTAATTCTGTTATAATATATGTTGGACTGCAGCATATTTTATTAGTGTAAATAATTAGGCTTATAGCTTTTGGGTGATGCCATCTCGAATAAACAAATATAGACCGTTATTATATTCTGTTTGAATTAATGCATGCCTGATGGAGCTTTGTGGTCGCCAAGGTGAAATATCACGTTGTATAAAAAGCACAGTGAAACCAAAGACAAATATGAGAGAGAATTTTGTAATTATTGAATAAAATATTTTGTAAAACTCATTAGTGTGTAATCAATTTGTCTGTAAGTCAGCTATTGGTATTACATAAGAAAATATGATCAGTTGCTGAATATGCAGAATAAAATAATATGCCATAAATTGTTGATGAAACATAAAAAAATTCGTGAAAGTCTAGTAATCATTCTTACAGATATATTTTCCTGTTACATAACTATACAGAAGCCAAAGAAAAAATATATTGATATCAAAGTAGCTTCTTTTTCTTCCTCTTTTCTTTTTTTCTCTGCGTGTGTATATTAGCGGTTATTTATTATACAGCTAGGATATGTATACATAAAATATATTTAGGATGAAATGAGTTTTTCAAACAATTTGCAGTTTATTGCCATTTTCAAACCTTCAAAAATCACAGCGGTAAATTTCTGGACAATTTTACAAATGCTTAGAGTCCGGATGTTACAGAGTTTTGTCGACATAATTTTATTTCGTGGTTAATTGCGATGAAACTACGAAAGAAAACATTTTGATGAGGAATAGCCTTCTGGCATGAAGAATCGTAACGAGAGAATATTTCTGCTCTCTGCTAATAGATATTCGTGATAGAAGATGCAAGGACGATATAAATACTTTAATGGACGAATAAACCAGTCGTTAATGATATTTTTTAGAGACAGAAACTGTACGAAGACAAACTGCTGTTCGTAAAATGCAGACGATAGGTTTTCCAAGTCATCTATCGTGTTTAAAGAAAAGCAGAATGTATATTAAGCAAAATGCACTAAGATACAACATAAAAATCAAAATAAAAATGAAAAAATTCTTTCTAGTAACCTCGTACTCGTAAATTTACTCTACACTTTAGGACGGATCAGACATTCTCCGGTTTTCTGTAACCAGTTGAATAGCGTCCACTCTAAAACTTTGATAAAAAATCACTTTCTTTGGCGAGAGCCTATTTTAACGCGTTACGAGAATTTGAGGAAGTCAACAATGATTTTGAAGTGAAAAATGAAAAGTTTCGTAGACAAACTGCAGAATTCAGAACTGAAAAAGTGCAGTACTATATTTTTGAACTGTCCAGAATTTTAAAGCTATGATGCAAAATATAGTATACGAAATCTTCTTGACTGGGGGGCGGACGGTAATATCCACAGGAAATGCTCTTTTTATAATTCGTTTGATTTTGACTTGCTTTCATTCCAGTTATAACTGAAGACCAGAAAAGTAGTTTCTCGACGCGTCTGATGCCCAGATATTTTATTACACAATATTATAATTAAGTAGATCGGATAAGCAAAAATTTATACATTGGTGAATAAAGCTGAATACATTTGGCGAGAAATCACAATTTGGCGACAAAATTGGCGATATGCCATGGACGGGTGGAGAACCTTCTGGAACGAATTCTTACCGGTTTAGCCCAGAATATTCTCGAACACAAGCCGATAGCTATATAAGCCCTGCTGGTCCGCAGTCAGTCACAGTGCCTCGTCGAGAGGGCGAGTGAGTGTGTCTCATCTTTTGAGTCTGTGTGGAGACGATGGAGTGGACAGCCGGCCACCGAGTGCCGAGTGGGTCGTCGAGTACATCGAAGAGTCTCTTAGTGTATCGCGTTTAGTGCATCGTCGAGAGAGCAAGTTAAGCTCCGGGAACGACTGAACCGAAGGGTCGGGAGCTGTGCTCTGTGTGTTGTCGAATGCATCGCGAGTTGTAGCGTGGAGAGTCTCGAGAGTACGTGGAGTTCCGAGAACGACTAAGCAGAGTCGGGAGCTGTACTCTGGTGCTTTGCAGTGAAGCTGTCTCCACCGTGATAGCTTGATAACCTGAAAGCTGTGTCGCTGATCGTGTCAGCGTGTTTATAACATCGTGATCGTGTCAGCGTGTTCGGCGACTGTAAACGAGATTTTGGAGCTGTCCTGATTAATACCGGCCAATAAAGTGTGTTTTGACACTTCATCAAGTGCTGCCATCATTATTCACTCCAAAATCCTCACGAACCCTGTACGAACGTGAAGGAAGAAGATAACGAAACAACTGGTGTGAGAAAAAAACGTAACAACATATAATTAATATTCCACATTCAAAAGGCTACAAAAAACCCACAAGTGAGAACCATATGAAATTTGACATGAATATGCATGAAGCAATAAGAATTTGTCTGATGAGAGAAAAGAAAAAGAGTATCAATAGTCACAATAGTATTTATCAATAGTACTTGTCATAATATGCTAATTAAAAGACGTTACACCACATATTAGACTTAATCCAAAGTACAAGAAGTTCCTGTTATTCTGAATTTGAGGATTCTTTCAGACGACGGTTTGTCATCATAAAACTTTCTGTTTAAAGGCATAAAAGTCATTAAGTCTATTCACACCTGTTTAACAGCATTTAAGCCATAGAAAATTAGGAAAGGGAAACTGCGTAAATGTGTAGCTGCGTAATCTGGTGGCTCAGGCGTAAATATGTAGTTGACTCAGTGAAACCATCGACTGATGTTTGCTTGGCTGTGATTGACGGTTCATACAACCTTTATAACAGTAAAATTAAAAAGTTAGAACTTTTAGGCAAAATCCTTAAATGTTTTTGGGACTTAGCAAAGTCTGTTTGCTTACCAACGAAGCTCGGCTTAATCCACTTATGGTATTAAAATTTTAGCTTGGAAAGAATGGAGCTTGAGAAGCTCATCATGACATTGTCAATGAAGGATCTGGTTCTGCTTGTGAAGCTCTTTTACAAGAACAGTACAGCACAATCAGACTTCCATTTGCTTTAAGTATATTCAGGTCATTCTGGCCAGTAGTTTTTTAATAGACTTTGGAAATGGAACTTTAATTATAAGTACCCTGTACGTAAATATTTATTTATATATTAATAATTTTAATTGCATTTTTGACATTAACACAAAAAGAGTAATAAATAATAGTAATACGTTTTAAAAATTAGTGCGATATTCATTGATCTTGGTTTAACATTATTTTACTAATTTTTGGCTCAAATAATATCCCCATAACCCGTAAAAAAGTTTCTGTGTGAAGCTGAGATAGTTGTTTTTAATAACTTTTAGAGTTGAGAGCACGTTTTCGCACAAGTCATTATGAATCGAGTCAAAATTTTCAAGTCTTTTTCAGTCAATGCAACGCATTTTACAAAACGCCGAATACGATTTCTTGAAGATGAGGTGCATTCAACTTTCTTTGAGATTGTCATCTAACGATAATTCAATTCAATTTTCTTTTTCTGTCATATTTAAATTGCTTTTCTCAATATATAAAAAAATTGATTTACCATCTATATATTTCCATACCTGGATCCTGTTCTTCTGGATAACAATGTTCGAAAGACATTTTGAGTGATGGCAAAAATTGTTGGATGAAACTTGTTATCTGTCGATTGACATCTTTTTCTTTCATGTATTCATCCAGTTCTGGAAGTATTTACAAATCTTCTGTTGATAAATCTTAAAATCTTCTGTTGATAGTGTTTCCCATAAAAATATTTTATTCTAAAATGTGTCATTTTACTTAACAAAGTAAAAATGACTGAAAGGTTCTGCTTGAATATGTTCACCTCATTCAACAAAGCAAAAATGTCTACAAATAAGCAAGCTTTTTTACTGTTATCATCAGAGAAAAAATATTGGCATTTAGAAATATTTTGCTGTTGAAAGAATAATTTTACTTCTTATCGCATGGTGTCGAACAATCGGTGTTCCTCTTGACAATCAACGCACCTCAGGATGAAGATGTTTATGCTGTGAGCCCATGTCATCACAAAGTGATTCAAATAATCAAGAGAGGCCGAATTTCATTTATAATTTTAATTACATTAGAGAGTACTTCATATTCTACAGATAATTTTTTGCGACAAGTTTTTCACGGTATAAAATATAATGAGTAAAAATTATGTCTAAGTATTCAGCATCTTTTATTTTTTTAACAATGCCAGATCTATACCCGTTCCTACTTACAGCACAGTCTGTAAATGTTCCTATACGTTTGACCCAATCAAAATTATCTTTCAGAAAGTAATCATTGAATAGATTGAAAATTTCAGATCCAGTCGTTCTATACGGCAAGTTGGGCGAACATATGAACTCTACTCTAAATATCCTTCGAAATTAAATCTCACAAAGCTATGAAGAATAGCCTTGTTTGTTACTTCAGTGAATTCATCAAGTCTGAATTGTATAAAATGTTGCATTTTTTATATTTATACTACTTGATCTTTAACATCTTAGGCTAATTCTTCAATTCTTCGCTTCACAGGCCTAGTAGCCTTTAATTCTGCCCTTCACAGGCCTTCAATTCTGCGCTTTATAGGCCATTTAAAAAATGAAAGCATTTCCTGGTAGATATAGGAATTGCTTTCATTTTTTAAATGGGGTGATTTCCCGAAATCTTCTCACAAGCATGTAGTAAGCAAGGTTTAAATGCGTTCCTATTCGAAGGTTTCCTTTTTTTTCGCTATTTGAAGGTCTCTCAAATATAAGGCTTTTAATATAGACTTATTTTGAATTGTCACGTTTTAAAGCATTTATTTGATTTTGTAAATTATTAAACTATCTTTGATAGCTAAATCAGGTTGTCTAGTTAGCAAATGTCTGGAAGATTTGATGGTTTCACGGCGGCAGTGGATAAACTCAACATAAAACACAAAACCATCGGGGACCTAGTTCAGTTCTAGATTCTTGTATAATACTATAATTCAAATAACCATAATCACATATTTTTAAAATTTAAATTATTTTTCTCTCGACTTCTACTTTATTTTCTTCCCCTGCTCGTGCTCGATGATGATGGAATCTGTGAGGGTCCTATTGAGTCTTCAGCTAATTCATGTTTTGTGAAGCTTTGCCAAAAAAGTATTAAATTGTTGGTTGTTTCTTTTCACCCATTTTAATTTTTATATTCATATAACCTGCAATATAAATTCAATATTCATTTTACACTAGATATAATAAAACCTCGTTTTTATAATTATATGCATATAAGTATGTTATATATTTACGTGTATAATAAATATTAATATTACATCTGG